TATGTAAGCGCGTCGTTCAAAAATATTACACGACCCAATTCAAGTCTGATTAATTAACATGGCGAAAGTTAAATTGTAAATTTACATTTTCCTGATAAATAAACCATTCTATACATTAAATAATATTAAATTAGGTTAAAGTTAAGATTCCCAGGTATGCAGTTCATCCATAACACATCTAAAATTATTAACTGTTCAAATACCAATAAAAAAAATTAAGATTAAACTGTAAATATCCAGATGGTGAAAAGTAAGCTGTAAATTTGGAAACAAGACTTTTGGACTGCTATTAAGAGAAAAAAAAATTGCGCATGATTTGTTAAGCTCAAATCTTATCTATGGAGAAATTCATGGGGAGGAGGGAGGGGGTTTTTAAAATGGTTGNACTAAGAACTAAGAACTAAGAACTAAGAACTAAGAACTAAGAACTAAGAACTAAGAACTAAGAACTAAGAACTAAGAACTAAGAACTAAGAACTAAGAACTAAGAACTAAGAACTAAGAACTAAGAACTAAGAACTAAGAACTAAGAACTAAGAACTAAGAACTAAGAACTAAGAACTAAGAACTAAGAACTAACAGTTCACAGTTCACAGTTCACAGTTCACAATTCACAAATGATGAATGATGAATGATGAATGATGAATGTTGAATGATGATTGATGAATAAATGACAAATGACAAATGACAAATGACAAATGACAAATGACAAATGACAAATGACAAATGATAAATGATAAATGATAAATGATAAATGATAAATGATAAATGATAAATGATAAATGATAAATAATAAATAGTAAAAAATAAATATCTAATAATAATAACTAGTTAAATATGTTTTTTTAGTTAAATAAAGATAATTCTTTTGTTTTGGAACGCACATAACTTGGAATTTGCTAGGTGGGGGGGGGGGCATTTTTTGGACAAGAAAACCCTAGAAAAGTTCGAAATTAACTTTTAACAAGAACAAATTTTGATTGTCATATGATGTTCTGTGCAGTCTAATTACAACTCCTACCTCATTATCATGCGTTCTTTGGCGTAGGATTTTTAGAACACGATCATCAGCAGCCCCAGATCTTAAAAACAATAAAAAAATATCAAAATATGAAAAATTTTAACATTTGAAAAGTTGCTGATCTAGAGGCTGAAAACGTCATTATGTTTCTTTTACAATAAAATTTATCATAAGAATAATTCTATGTAATAAACGCTTTGGAATAATTGTGTGCGTGTGTGCTTTTTCTTATAGGTTACCTAAAACCAAAAAAAACATAACTTTATTGATAAATTTTCAATCCCCCCCCACCCCCTTGATAACAAATCTATAGCAAATAGGATGCAAAAACTCTCGTAAAGGAACCGTGAGAGTAACTTCAAGCGACCCTACATGTAAATATGACAATGCTCAAATTACAACAGTACTATTGAAACCTTATCTGATCAATTATCCTCATTTTTCTAGGTTTAAAAATGTTTAATTCTGATAAAAACTTTCTGTTTTTCTCCAATAAAAATGCGGCAAGTCAGTTTTTCCAAGAAAATAATCAGTTTACAAAATTATGAACATTGATATCTAATTTATACTTTCATCAAACAAAGCCTTTAAGGATACCATTGTAAATCGACAAAGCCTTTGAGGGTACCATTATAAAACTCATATAGTCATTTATGCATGCAGGTTTACTTGAAATTACGCAAATAGTCTGTTAAAAACACTTGGAAGTATTCCTAGATGAGAATTCATAAATAATAACTGATACATTGCATTGCTGGTATTTTTGACCGCTTAACAAATTTCTGTTCAAATATTAAAAAGTTTTACTTCAGTGGATACCACCTGAAAAGCTAGTACCTGACAGCAGGCAAGACTATAAAGCTAGTATCTGACAGCATGCAAGACTAAACAGCTAGTACCTGACAGCATGCAAGACTAAAAAGCTAGTACCTGACAGCATGCAAGACTAAAAAGCTAGTAAAAGACAGCATGCAAGACTAAAAAGCTAGTACATGACAGCATGCAAGACTAAAAGCTAGGACATGACAGCAAGCAAGACTGAAAAGCTAGTACCTTACAGCATTCAAGGCTAAAAAGCTAGTACCTGACAGCATGCAAGACTAAAAAGCTAGTACCTGACAGCATTCAAGGCTAAAAAGCTAGTACCTGAGGGGGGAAGCACGAATCTTGCTTCCCGAATTTACCAAATAAGAAATGCAAAATGTGGTATGGCAAGATAAATCCAGTGTAAGAAAATTTGTGGTTAAAATAAAAATATCAGACAAGGAAAAAAGAATTTGAGAATTGAATAGTCAAATTTCCTTAGTATTTTATTTCCACCAATATCTTCGATTTCTTTGAGAATACTGGATTCAAGCTCAGACAGGATTCCCTAATAAATATATTGTTTTAAATTTTAAGAACAAAATCTAGAAAGGGGGCAAGAACATTTTTCTATTTTCCATACCCCCCCCCTCCCTCCCTTCGAACAAAATACAAGATTTTCTCCTTCAGTTAAAATTCAGCGATAAAAAGGCACTTAATACAATTTTCTTTATTTCTATGGCTTGAATTGTTAGTTTAACTACCTTAGTGTACTGAAATGAACCTGCTGCTTCTATGAGACCAATACAGAACTTTTTAACCTAAAAAATTAAAATCTGTCAAGAAACAAAAATTTCGGAAACCTACTTCAAAATACTCTTCATCATTTTAAAATTAGGAACAAAACTCATTCTAGCATATTGATAAAAGATAAGATTTTATTGACTGACAGCATGCAAGACTAAAAAGCTAGTACCTGACAGCATTCAAGGCTAAAAAGCTAGTACCTGACAGCATGCAAGTCTAAAAAGCTAGTACCTGACAGCATGCAAGACTGGAAAGCTAAATTTTCCTTCAGTCAAATCTTCAGCAAAGCTTTTATTTGAAGCATAATCATCAGATTTCAGGTTCTCATAATCATCCCTGAAATTGAAAGAAAAGGTTTATTAGATCATGATGACTGCAGTCTTATTTAGTAGATGTCCATTTTAAGAATTTACATCCATAAAATCAAATCAAATTGTTAAAAGACGTCTAAAACCAGAAAAGTCAAATTGATTTTAATTGAAAAAAATTTAGTTTTAACATTAGGATTCTGGCAACCACATCAACCAAATACGTCCGGGTGTGTGCACAAAATTAATGTAGTGCCTTCTTATATTAAAGAACAGTAAAGATTCATAACGGTATCCTTAAAAGCTTTGTCTGATCAAGGATAAATAAGACATGAATGTTTATAAATTTCTCTACAAAAACACTATTCTACTACTGGAAAACATATTGGAATTTTCACAAACAAATACTTGAAAAACGACAATTTCTTCCCCATCAAAGAGCACATAAAGGTTTCAAGGGTACTGTAGTGAATCAAGTATTGCCATCTTCGCATGAAGGGTCACTTGAAATTATAAGCTAAAAAAAGTAAACCTAATCTGGAAGTAAAGACCAAGGAGTTTGACAAAGTTTGAGAAATCATGAGATGAGGTTGCAAACAGCTGCATCAACCTAGAAATTATAATTTTTTATTTAAAGTTACATATTAACCTAGAGGCGCCTGTTCAAGTTAAAGAAGGGTGATTCAACTTGTAACTTAAGAACTACAGCAGTATCTATCTAATATATTGTCAAATCAAATCAAATCAAATCAAATCAAATCAAATCAAATCAAATCAAATCAAATCAAATCAAATCAAATCAAATCAAATCAAATCAAATCAAATCAAATCAAATCAAAATTTCAGGGATTTTCTACCAACAACCGTGTCGAAAACTGAAGTGACTTCTACTAAACCAGCATCATACCAAGGACTTACGGCTTGTGAGATAGATGTTGTGTTGCTAGTTATGGTCCTTTTACTCAAGGAAATTACATTTATTGTCAGACTGTTATTGGTCTTTTTACTCAGGGAAATTACAATTATTGTCAGACTGTTATTGGTCTTTTTACTCAGGGAAATTACAATTATTGTCAGACTGTTATTGGTTTTTTTACTCAGAGAAATTATCATTATTGTCAGACTGTTATTGGTTCTGTACGCAAAAATTTCCAATTGTGGGAAAAACAGTATCATTTAAGTTACTTGAGATAAAAGAGAGGATATAGTCCAGGTACCTTACAGCCAGGTTAAAAAGTCCACCGGTCTTTCTTGTGATCATTATTTTATACTCTTCTTCTGAAGGACAGATAAAGTTATCCCTCCAGTATATCTCCATTCCTAAATACAATTTATTACATTCTCTTTCTTCATTGGGAACCAAAATAATTTGATTACGGAAATAAGATAGGAATGGTTAGCTATGTAAATATTAATTAAAAAATGTTCAAAGATGATCAAATTTAAACTTGGTTTATGTCAATAAAACATACTTCAAGTTGATATGTACCTTGTCCCCTGTGCAATTCAAGCATCTGTTCTGTGAATACCTTAGTGGCTTCAGGATGTCCTACAACATAATTTACGAAATTAAGCAGAATTTATGATAAGCAATTATGTAATTTAAAGAAAATTTAAATATTACCAAGGGTCTGACATTTTTCTAGTCCAATAAACATCACGTAGTTGGCACAGTTGATTGTACTTGCCTAAACAAATATCATATATGAAATTCTTTACAAGTTAACACCATGATAAAAACAACAATAAAATTTATGAAACATTATGATCTACAATCCATACATTGATAACAATTCATACAATTTTCAAGTACACAATTCACAAGGAAAAAAACTTACAATATCTATTGATTGAAAACTACACTACTACTTCTAAAAAAATCTACATGCAGAATCTATAATCTACATTTTAACATAATCCATACAATATCTCACTACACAATCCACTTGCTAAAAACAATCACACAATCTCTTATGCAATACACATAGTGAAAACAATCCATAAAATCTCTTTCCCTACACAATCTACATTTCACATGATAAAACCAATCCAATTATCCATTTTATAACTTACTCAACAAAGCAAATATTGAAAACCATCTGTACAATTTCTTTCACTTCACATTTGACTTTTCACAAACCACAATCCACTTAATTTTCGCGAAATGGAGAAATCGTTTCGCGAAAATTTTTGCATTTTTTCGCATTCCGTGCGTAGAAAATGATGCGAGAATTTTCGGTTATTTTTGAGAAATTTCTAGTTCATTTGTTTTATAAAAATAAATTGCATTTTTGCAATTTTTTCCCGAAAAAGTATGCAAAAATTTAAGTTTTAAATTAAGACATTCCGAAAAATGCTTCTCCGCAGAATTTCTTCTTGAATTTTTGTTAGCTTAAGACTTCCACTTCCTGTACATCCTTGAAATCATCTCTAGATTGTTCGGTAGGTTGACCCATCCATAGTCTCGAAACAAAACCTTTAAGCTTAGTTCTTTTATTTTCAGGCTTAATTTTTCCAGATAAAATCTTAAGGTTACTCTGTTAATTACCTAAAATTTTTGCGAAAGTTTTCGTTTACTGGAAACCCTAGTTACAATACATATGATGGATATATTCTAACCTGACCATAAATGAGGTGAGCTACAGGTAAACCCCGTCTTAGAATACTGCTATCCTCTACAGAATATATACTATCAAAAACTAGATAGGTAACCCACGTTAAACTAAAGTAAATTAAATATAAGATTGAAATTTTATATGTTTTCAATGATAACACTTCTTGTTGAGCAGGTATTAAAAGGACAAAATGTTCCAATTTTTCATCAGACATAAGTCAATTTTGGTTGGCTCTTCGAAATTGGTCAAAAAATAGGTATTGAATCTACTCTCTGTCCTTACTTCTTGTCACTGTTAACTACAACCGTGTAGCCCAGTCTTACTAGGCTATATTAGCAGTCCGCCAGCTTCATTGTGTCCGCACTGGCTTTATAATTTTAAAAATTGGATTATAAAACATAAGACATAAGACATATTTTGGCTGGATTATACGTAGAACTTTTGACAAATATGAATCTGACATATGAAGATAAAGGATTAAACCTCAGTACTCAGTACTCTTAACCAGTAAGAGATAAGGTATTGAGTATAGTTCCGTCAGTTCAAAAGTGTCCACCCCTAATGGTTAATTTTTCACTTGCTATTGTTAATGTGATTTTTAGATAGTATTCCTATATCATCTAAGAGAAGGCTGGCGTTGTGTAACATCTGAACTATTTCACCAATTACTGACAACTTTTCCTCAGGAACCTGGATCATTAAATCAATTCATCAAATATGCTTTAAAAATAATGTTGTATATAAACATATTATGTTATATTTTGTGTATAGATCATGATCCCTTAATGGAAATGTTTCGCCACTGTGTAGAAAATTCTTCAAAGGCGCTAAACATTTTTAATTAAAGTTTTTTTTTGAGGAAAATTATGAATTTTTGGGGAAAAGTATAAAGTAAAGGTGGAGAAACTTATAATGACTTTAAATTTTTAACTCATCAAGAGTCATTTAGAAAGACACTTGACTATTAAAAGCTTCAAATCAGTTTAAAATATATGAAAGCGCTAAGTCTATAAAGTGAAAATTATCAGACAACTTTTCTCTTTTATTATTTCTGTCCAAGTAAATGATTTAATTTTGTTACCTGTAACCATGAGTTAAAGCCAGCCATAAGTTTACCACGAATATTTTTTCCTAAAAAGTAAAAATAACTAATTTTAAGTCCGTAAAGATTGTTTTGCAACTCCCATTGCAAGAAGGACCAGTTTATCATCCCTGTACAACACCTTATTTACCCCCTGAACTTGGTGTTTGTCTCAAGAACAAAGAAGCTTCTAGAAACTTGTATTTTGTAGTTTGTATAGTATCACCGGATTTAAATCTGTACTGCGTCAGCCCGAACATTCAGTATTGTTGAATTTGTCGTAGTTGAATGATCGCTACAAATATTTATTTACTGTGAAGTGTTTCGAGGACCAATGTGGTGAGTTATCATTAGATTTATTATTTGTAATATGTCGATATTTATTCCAATTATCATAGTCTTCTGCTGCAGTTTTTTAATGCATAAGTAAATAGTTGTTTGTTATAAAGAAAATTTGATAAACCTTTGTTTACATAAAACTTTTTTTGTGGCTTATAATTCTTGTTTTTCGGTCTATATATCATTAAATTTGTAGATTGAACTGTGCAATAAAACTTGAAGACTGATCCAGACTTTAGTATGGAGAGATCGACAGACAGAGCAGCTTACGGTCAGATCCGTAGGAACACCACACGGTATACACATACTCAAATCTAGGGCAACTGGGTAGTTGCGAAACAAAGATAATTACGTACAAATAAGTGCGGTAAAATACAAGATGCCTACACAATAGGTACAGATAAGTACAGAATACAGGTAAGTACAGAAAAGGCAAGATGGATTAAATTGCTTGAGAACATGTTGCACATGATAAGTAGTATACCCCCTTACGGGGTACAGCGTATAACTAACCTGGTACAGTTAGCAGATGAGAATAAGTGTACTGTTGTGCACAAGATAAGTACAGTGTACGGTGTTTTAATTGACTTGTACAGTTAGCAGATGGGAATATGGTTCTAAGTGTATAATTGTGCTCATGATAAGTACAGTGTACTGTGTTTTAATTGACCTGGTACAGTTAGCAGATGGGAATACGGTTCTAAGTGTACTATTGTGCACAAGATAAGTACAGTGTACAGTGTTTTAATTGACCTGGTACAGTTGGCAGGTGGGAATAAGGTTCCAAGTGTACTATTGTGCACAAGATAAGTGCAGTGTACGGTGTTTTAATTGACCTGGTACAGTTAGCAGGTGGGAATAAGGTTCTAAGTGTACTGTTGTGCACAAAATAAGTACAGTGTACAGTGTTTTAATTGACCTGGTACAGTTAGCAGATGGGAATAAGGTTCTAAGTGTACTATTGTGCGCAAGATAAGTGCAGTGTACGGTGTTTTAATTGACCTGGTACAGTTAGCAGGTGGGAATAAGGTTCTAAGTGTACTGTTGTGCACAAAATAAGTACAGTGTACAGTGTTTTAATTGACCTGGTACAGTTAGCAGGTGGGAATAAGGTTCTAAGAGTAAAGCATCCTGAGCTCTACTGTTACTTTGGCTGAATGGTAGATCCTAAACAGATTTATTTAATCATTGATTTCCATCTCGAAACAAATTTAGCTTTCATTTAGAGAATTTAGCCATCAACAAAATAAACAAAAACAGTTTATTAAGAAGTTACATAATTGATTACAATATAAATTTAAGTCGCAATTAAAACTTACTTCTTTGGATTTCTGAGATTTGTTAGCTTTGGCTAATTTTACAATGGATGGAATGTCTCCATTAGGTACTGTGTTCGGCATTTTTCTGAAAAAATAAAAATGGCAAATCATAAAATAAAATTACTTAATATTTAAAACGGTGGTAGACGATTATATCAATATAATGAAGACCACCTTTTTATTTAAGTTTTACAAGTCTATTAACAGTTAAAAAGAAGCGTATTTCAGCTACTCTTTTTTTCCATGTTTTGTATAAAAATGCTGTTTAAAAGCGTGATATAAATCAAAATTGAAATCGAAAGTCGTCTTTATTATATTTATATAATCGCCTACCACCGTAGCAATTTTGAAAGTATGTGTTCTAACGCGTTCTTAGAACTTTGTCTGTTAAATTACGCTCAAACACATGATCAATTAATTTGAGGAGTTTCACAAAACATATTAAAATGACTTGGAAAAGACGGCAAACTCCATTGTTTTTTATGTTCTCTTGATATTCTATCTCTTTTCAGTCTAATGAAGCCTCGTCCCAAGGACCATGAATAGTTTGTTTATAGGATTGAAGATGGAAGAACAGAAGAGGACAAATAACCTGAAAATATTTTCAAAATTAGACAAAAATACATTTAATATGTATTTGATTTACTTATTTGAGATTTAACATGACAACTTTACACGACTGTATCTGTAATTTCAAGTTAATCTTCATGTATAGAGTAGGATGTCCAAATCCCAATGGTATCCCGAAAAGTTTCGGCTGATCAAGAGTGAATGAATTATCAATCAATATACCTTTAAAAATATATTATTTCAATGGCAGTTTCTCTATTAGAGTGACTTGCACACTAGTGCTTCGGAGACAATGAAAGAAATTACCAGAATTGAACACTTCAAACGCTAACATCTACTTCAGATAGAGGGTTAAAGGGTACCGTTGTGAATAGGCCATGCCCCTTTTCAAATGATGCAGGGTCAGTCAAGGTACAGCAAAAAATCTCTATATTTTATTTGTAAAATCCCTTTCTTGGTTGAACAAAACTCCCCTAAACTATAGGTTGAGAAGGCTACTCACCAATAGCCCCATTGTATAAGCCTCTCTGTCCAGTTGTAATGTACTTTTTTCATAAAACTAAATATTTCATTGAAAACCTGTAATATTCTAGACCTAAAAATGCTAGATAAATCTTTACTTACCAATAAAAAGCAGAAGACAGCTAGGCAGAGCAGTGCAAATGCCGCAAGATGATTTGGAAATCTACTGGCTAGGCAAACGGTAGAGAATATACCAGAATTCAGGGAAATAGATCTAAAATACATTGATCACACTAACGGACTTTCCTTAGAACATTTTTATTAAATTGTTTTATTTTTTAACAGTTGAACCACCAACTTAACAGACTAAATTAGGTAAGTGCAAGGTATGTACATTGTACACTGTAGTTTCCAGTGTACAATGAAGTATGGGGGAATGTTTTGTATATTTAGATGTGACGTACTTGGACTGCTGAGGAACTAGTTTTAGCGTAACACTAAATCTGTAAGAATATTTCCAAATAATCCTTTCCATTGAAACCAGAAACAATTGTTTTACAGCGTTAAAATCTTCATACCAATGGCTACAAAAAGTACTGTGGATTAGAAAGGTCAACCTAAATGGTTCCATATCAACCCGTTTAAAAGATAGATGCCTAGTTTAATTACTTTGTTTAAGTTTCCAGAATTATATCCCTTTACATGAAGTTTAACTTTAGTAATTTGTCTCTGTTAAAACGATTGGTCTGCAACTACAACGATGACTTACTTTGAGACGACCGGCCCTGTGATCCCGTAGTTCTGGGTCAGGGTGTGAACCACCAATCCAACCAGAGACATCGTGTGAATTGTATCAGTACTAAAAACTATCACGATTAAAAAATATGTATTTTAAATATTTTTTTTCTGATAACCAATTAGACTTTTCTTAGTGTTTAAGGACTTTGTGGTAAATTCATATAATGCTATACATCCTTTTTTTTTGGTATAAATCCACTTTCATAACGCATAAGATATCACAAAGTTCTTTGCGCGACGAACAGAGATTATGAATACAAATCTTAAATATTGTAAAAAATCCTAAGGCCTAAAGGCAGTCCCCATACCTCAACTGTTTAGGGTACACAGGGGCGCATACAGGGGGGGGTTATGGATAAGTGAAATCTTTGGTTTCGAGGGGGAACCCCATCGGGGTTTAGCGCCCCCTTTCCACCTGAGGAAATTCCTACATATACGACTATATAAATGTACAGTTTATATTGTTATAGTGTAAAGTTTGTTAATTGCAATGTATAGGCCAGGGCCAGGTAGGAAAACCAGATGACCCTAGCTAGCTGAAAGGTCTCCTTCTTTGGTACGAAATAAGAAAGCATCTAATTTATTTGAACCTGTGTCCGAATTTAATGAATTTAAGCCGCGTCTTAAATCCCCCCAAAACCGGTTTCAGTTAAGCGCCGGATTAAATCTTGAGAAATTTAATACAATTTTAAGTGGAACCAACCATATTTGAGCCGCCGCTTAAATTTAAACCGCGGCTCAAATTCTTTAAATTCGGCCTCGGGTTACCTGATGGTGTCGGTCAGTTTGAACAATACTGGAGACAGAGCAAATCCAATTGTGACGAAGAAGAAAGTCGTCTTTACTCCATTAAGGATTTTAGACAAGGAGAAGTTCCTAATAGTTATTCATTGTGAGGTTTATATTAGACTAATCAAAAACATCAGTTTTGAATAAAAATTTAGTAAAAATTATTTTCTGAGGGGTTACCTGAGATGGTATAAATATCCCGCGGTAATAACAAGAAATAGAGACAGCAGAAGCTGTTCACTACTCACAATATCTTCACTAGAAATAAACAATAAATCACAAAGATATTTCAATTTAGAAAAAGAATAAAATGCATGAAAAAGAGTAAGAAAATTTTCCATCCACTCAAATAACCAACATTCTGTTTTAGCCTCTCAGGAAACTAAACACATGCCACAGACTCAAATTTTCTAATCCCTGATGATGTATTTCAAACTTTGACTATTTGATCTTATGGCCTACTGCAGCAGGGTGCAAAGATACAAGAATTAGAAAATCGTAACAAGTGTTTAATTCATTTCAAATCTTTATCGTATGAAAAAAAAAACAATTATTTTAATACAATGATAGAAAGGAATGTTTTTTTTTGAGGGAGTTTTATGTTTAGTTAAAAAAATATTGTGTAAGTTTAAATACAGGGGAATAAAGTTCCAACACGTGATTTGGCCCAAACATGACGCTGTCAGGTTTCGGCCAACTGTGCAAAGTAATCTTTTTTAACGGTTAAATTTTTGTTTAGGTCGAGAAGAAAAGACCAGTTTGCATAGTTTATTCAAGAATAGTTAAGACTACATTTTTATAACAAAACTTTAAATATTAAACCCCTACAAATCAAGAAACGTCAATTTCTGATGATTTTGATTTTAATCATTTTAAAACATTTGACATTTCTAAAGCAAATTCAAAGTTTGGACACAAAACACGTTTTGTAACTTGTCGCAATTTTGAGACATTTCACTTAGCACGGTTTGGAATTTTCTTCCCCTGAAATGTGAATTAAAGAAACAAAAAAAGTGATAAATCCACCTAAGATATATGTATAGAGCCCAAAACGTGATAAGAAGACTGAATTCACGCCCGACAACAGCAGCTCCCTTAAATCATTTAGAAAATATATTTAACATTTTTTTAAAATATTTAATTTCTTCACCTTAAAACATTCTCGTTTAGAATAAATTCGAAGATTTTTATTTCTTTCGATGGCAGCAAGGAAGCTTTCCTCCGGTGTATAGTTATCAGGAAATCCATTTTTCTCGAAGAGAACCTTTTTCCACGTGGTAGATGTGTCCGCCATCTCGAAATATTTCCCCGCGAAATTAAAAAAGTTCGGAAACAAATCACCAAGTGAGTTTGTGGTATAAGCCGAGTTTGTATATCACTTCAAAGTTTGGGTTTTCTAAGATCTGCTGATCATTGAAAAATAAGTTCAGATAACATTTCTTCTTAAGCAAGAAGTTATATTCATTACTCTTTACAATTTGAGAATTTTTTTGGCCGGCTCTTCCTCTTCTTCTTCGTCCTCTAGCTCCTCTAGATCCTCAATGACCTCGGATGACCCTGACTCCTGGATCAGATGGGTCAACTTTTCATTTGTTTCTTTCTGTATTTTTCTCAGTTTGTCAGCTAAACCAAATATATTAACAACAAGTATTAAATATGTTTCTTGAATATGAAATAAAGGGACTGTTACGACGTAACTTCAAGGGACCCACCATAAAAAAAGAAAAAGAGTATACAAAGGTACCCTTAGACCTCTATCTGAGTTTTCTTAAAAGCGTTAGAATTTGCTAGTTGAAAAGAGCTTTGTTTGGAACAAATTATACAGAACCTCTCCCCCCCCCGTAAAAAAGAAAAAATTGTAAATTAATTGGTTCCTAAGGCTTGAAGGTGAATTTGGTTTGGTTCAACAGATTCTGCTAAAGAATACAATTCCTCTCCATTCTTCACTATTTTTCCAACAAGAAGAGACATTCTGAAATAGTAGAAAAAACAATTGAGGTAAAATGCTAATTAGAACATTAAAAAAATGTAAATTTTTGGTAATTTTTCATTTTTAAATATATCTTCATACAAGTATGAGTATGAGAATGAAATCTGTAAGAAGCCCCATGTTGAGCAACCCAGTAAAATTAATTAAGCTATTTTTATCAACATGTAACATAAAATAGTCTTTCTTTAAACCAGGGTGTGCCAATAGATAACTTGCAATAATAAAATCATAGCTCATCTTTGTATGTAAACTAGCTGCCATAAAGCGTACTGGCACAGGCACTTAACTTCTTCTGCTTTAAATGTACTGCAAAACTTTATGCGTTAAAACTGACTCTTCTCCATGACTGAAATTATGCTGTGCTCAATAACAGTTTGTGCCAATCTAGCACCATTCCGTACTGCTAAACTGTACGCCGTATCATCATTTATATTCCGCCTGCACAATATAACAACAGGTTTGGTTTGGCATCTTTTAACTTCAGGTTTCAGTCCTATTTCTTGCTAAAAAATATTCTCATTACAGTTGAGATTTGTGTTTTGAGAGCAAGAAGTCTTTTTAAGTAGGCTTTGGTTGTTTTTTTGCCTTTTGGATTCGGATCCATGGTTCTGCATATTTTTTTAGATCCGGATCCAGGAAGTCAAAATGTTGCGGATCCAACGGATCCGGATCCTAGGCACTTGTTTTTTATGCTACCAAACAAATTAAGGAATTTCACATTATCTATTTAAAAAAAGTCAACAATCCCTTTGAAAATAATTATGTTGTTGTATCCCTTGTAATATCTGCATTATGTGCCAAAAGCTCATTAACAACATGAGGATGGTTCTTCATCGCTGCAAACATTAAGGGTGTACATCCATTCTCATCCTAGAATAAAAAGAGGCTTCACGAAAAAATGAAAGTCTATTATCAGAGTCACATACGTAGACACTAGACACTAGACAGTCCCTTCAACAGAATTCACTTTTTATCTTTTCTTTTTTTTGGACATTTTCTCATCTCTCAATAAATTTACTCTCTATATCTAATGAATCTAACCTGTGTAGCAACAAATCTAACCTCTGCATCAACATCTAACCTCTGTATCAATAAATCTAACCTCTGTGTTAATAAATCTAACCTCTGTATCAATAAAACTAACCTGTGCATCAATAAATCTAACCTCTGTATCAACATCTAACCTCTGTATCAATAAATCTAACCTCTGTATCAACAAATGCTCCATGTTTAAGTATAAGTGTGATAAGTTCAATACAACCACAGCTAGCAGCTAGATGCAGGGCTGTTTCTTCTTCCAAACCTCTAAAAAACAAATAGGTAAAATTCTACCTTTGAAATTATAAAAGAGATTGTTTATCTATTTAAAAATAAATGAAAGTTTAAATCAGTTTGGACCTATGGAACATCTTTAAGCAATAAGTTAGACTTGTTCCTAAATTCTGATAGTAGGAGTAAAATGCAATTGGTAAACGAGATTTCATCTCTAAGTATAATCCAGATCCCATTTTCTTTCCGCTAAAGAGGAGTTTTAAGAATAGTTCATGGCATCTTGAATAAAAAGTACAAAAAGTACAAAATATCCATGAAGAAGTAATGGTTGAGTAGGATGGGGGGATGGGGTAACGCGTCGGATCAATATCAGTAATAACTACATTGTTAAACCTCACCTACAGTTTATGCTAGCTCCACGATTAAGTAGAAGTTGAACTGTTGGAGTTTGACCGTAAGCTGCTGCCCACATCAACATGGTAAACCCATGCACATCCGGTAGATTGATATCCCCTCCTGTCTCTCTAAAATAATCCTTATTTTTTTTAAGGTACTGCAGATGCAAACGGTTCCCTCTAAACATTTATTTGATCAATAATTAGGAAGATTTCATTACTTAAAGAGTGTCTAATAATTATTTTTTTTCCATTGTTTCTGCATCAGAAATTCGCAAGTTACTCTTGTAGAGAAACCACGATTAAAATAATGTAATTTTAGCTAGTAAAAACAAACATTTCTCATGCATCAGACAAAGCTTACCTGGACCAACAATCTATATCGTTATTATCCAGGTCTCCATGACCAGCCTGCTGTAGTTTTACCCTACCTGAGCCAGCAATCTATGTCATTAATATCCAGGTCTCCTTGACCAGCCCGCTGTAGATAAATCCTACCTGAGCCAGCAATCAAAATCATTATTTTCCAGGTCTCCTTGACCGGCCTGTTGTAGTTTTACCCTACCTGAGCCAGCAATCTATATCATTATTATCCAGGTCTCCTTGACCGGCCTGCTGTACTTTCACCCTACCTGAGCCAACAATCTATATCATTATTATCCAGGTCTCCTTGACCGGCCTGCTGTAGTTTTACCCTACCTGAGCCAGCAATCTATATCATTATTATCCAGGTCTCCTTGACCGGCCTGCTGTACTTTAACCCTACCTGAGCCAACAATCTATATCATTATTATCCAGGTCTCCTTGCCCGGCCTGCTGTACTTTCACCCTACCTGAGCCAACAATCTATATCATTATTATCCAGGTCTCCTTGACCAGCCAGCTGTAGTTTTACCCTACCTGAGCCAACAATCTATATAATTAATATCCAGGTCTCCTTGACCGGCCTGCTGTAGTTTTACCCTACCTGAGCCAGCAATCTATATCATTATTATCCAGGTCTCCTTGACCAGCCCGCTGGTAAACATCAACAGACCGTACACTACTGTACAATACATCATTAAACATTAGTTTATTATTCATTAAATGGAAGGTTTGCGACATTTTAGTAATCTTCTATCACTGCTCTATGTAAAGAAAAGTTGGAATATGTACAAGACTTTAATCTCAACAGATAACCAAATTTTTCGCCATAGTTTCTCAAATGAGGGTTTACAGGTTTCACCGAAAATGTTTAATGGGTATAAATGTTTTTTTTTTGTTAAAGGTTTCTAAGATACAAGAGTCAAGGTTTCTATAGTGTCTCATTCACCTGAAGGCACATAGAATAGGCACAGAAATAGTTTTTGATTAATTCCAAAATGTAATGTTTTTTTTTTGTCAAAATAAAAAAATATTCAACCTTATGTTTTGTGTTGGTACATTTCCTCTTTGAAGATTTGTCAATATTGTTGTAGCACGTGCACCAGGGCCTAAATAAATATTAAATACCACTTGAGGCTCAGTAGGAGACCAGTTTAATGTTCCTTAGCCATTTGTAAATTGATATTTATAAGTAAATTGTAAATAATTAAATGTACATGTAGACGTAAACGGGGTTTAAAAATATTCAATTATGGATGATTTGTAAATTGTATTTAATTCATTGTAGACGTATGAATATTTTTATGCCATGTAAATTGTAAATTGTAAATTGTAAATTGTAAATTGTAAATTGTAAATCGAAATGTATTAATATTTTAATATTGACTAAAACAATTTGTAAATCAGTATGCAAATTATAAAGACTAAACTAATTTGAATGGCAAATTGTAAATGCATATGTGTAAAATTTTATTTTAATCTCTCTACGTCAGACATACATTTAATATTCCTAACTTTTGCTTTCAAAATTAAAATTTAACTCGACCGCTTCTGAAAAAGCTTTTAAAGAAATAAAAAAATTCAAAACGCTCACCTACATCAGGGGCACTAGGCCAAAAACTGGACATTTTTATCTAGAAATATATTTAACCCTGTTTATTATAATATACTCGCAAACATAGCAAACAAACAACCTTATCGAATTTAAAAATATTTTTCTAAAAAATCCCTTTTTTTATTATTCAGTTTCATATTCAAACTTTTCAAGAGAATGCTTATTTTATACCAAATATTTTGGTATAAAATCAAATTCTGAAAAAAAGTCTTTTTAGAAGAAAAAATTATAGAACTTAAGTTTCAGAGTCTTGAGTTAAATAAATACAGTATTAAGCATTTTTAGGTAAATACAATATAAAAAATATATGACAATTATTGACTAAATGATAAATACAGCCTATTGTGGCACCAACTGGTGTAATTAGGATTATATTACATTACAACAATAACCAAACACCAAACTGTATGTACATAAAGCCCAATAAATGATGGACCCTTTTGTATAGATTTTGGCGGATAGCAATAAGACGAGAAATAAGATAACGACTAACTATATTTTAATCTAAGTTTACAAAGTAGAAAATATATATCATGACGTGGCTTCTGGAAAACTCCCTCTATTCTTCTACTTGCCGCGAAAGGTTCTTCTTAGGAAAGACGACTTTCATAGCCGCCACAAGATAAAGAATGTTTGATTATCAAAATAATTTAGTTAGTTCCATGCACGAAACCTCCTTCAGTAATGACGGAACATAATGTTTTTTTATTGTTTTTTTAGGTCTCTTGAATAAACAAGCAAGAATTAGCTAGTCACAATAAAAAAAACTTTTTGTCCTGTAGAATTACAAATAAAGAAAATTTCTGCAAATTCACAAAATCTTTGAGAAAACTGAGCTCAGCTGAAAACTTTAGAATGGTGGATACCGAGATCAATGCTTGATCTCCTCTTTTTCTAAATCAACAAGCATTATTTAAACTAAAGATTGAGAAAAAGAAGAGATCAGGCATTAATCCCGATATCCACCATTCAAAAGTTCCCAAGTCAGTTTCCTGAAACAAAATGTAACTTATTTGAATTTAAAATAAAACTAATAAAGATAATACAAATATTTTGTCCCGTATAGTATCACAATGTAAAAATATTTCCGCAAATCTACGAAAGGAATTGAGTCTTCGCCACAAACGATTTTAAAATTCCTATTTATCTTTGCAACCGTGGATATTTCGAACTATGAATTCTATCAGATCAAATAATTTAAGTTAAAAATATTGAATGTGTACACCATCAGGTTGCAAAGATATATGAATTAAAGAATCTGAATTAGGTTTAAAGACTCTTAGAGTCTCCAACTCTGATTCTTAAATGTGGGAAAGAAATTCTCTTTGAATTGAATAATATAGATAAACTTAAATTTTAACAGGAAACATTTCTTTGAAAAATAAAAATTAACACGCGTCAACAACAAGAAACAAACTCTTAAACTTTAACATCAAGTAACTAGATAAATATTACTACAAACAATAAAAACCTTAATTGAAAGCATTGAGTATAAAAAATAAGTACGTCATCACAGCAAACAAATTTTAAACAAATTTCGAAATACGGTCTGGGCCAAAAATTCCATGTAAAAAAAAGGAGCAGAAAGATATATTTTTATCATCAGGTTAAATATTGGTTTTATTGGACTCTATTTGAAGGTTGTCTGTATAATTATTAAGCTCAATGTTTATTGTAAAGCATAGTATATCTAGATCTATGGTACAACACTTTAAATAGCATATGAAGTCTATGTTTTATAGTATAACTCAGTATATAGTTTATCTAGAAAATATATGTTCTCTGGTATAACTCAGTATATAGTTTATCTAGAAAATCTATATGCTATGATATAACTCACTAAATAGTTTATCTAGAATGTCTATGTTTTATAGTATAACTCAGTATATAGTTAATCTAGAAAATCTATATTCTATGATATAACTCACTAAATAGTTTATCTAGAATGTCTATGTTCTATTGTGTAACTCAGTATATAGTTTATCTAGAAAATATATGTTCTATTGTATAACTCAGTATATAGTTTATCTAGAAAGTCTATGTTCTATGATATAACTCAGTATATAGTTTATCTAGAAAATAAATGTTCTCTGGTATAACTCAGTATATAGTTTATCTAGAAAGTCTATGTTCTATGATATAACTCAGTATATAGTTTATCTAGAAAATAAATGTTCTCTGGTATAACTCAGTATATAGTTCATCTAGAAAATAAATGTTCTCTGGTATAACTCAGTATATAGTTTATCTAGAATATCTATGTTCTATGGTATAATTAAGTAAATAGTTTATCTAGAAAATATATGTTCTCTGGTATAACTCAGTATATAGTTTATCTAGAAAGTCTATGTTCTATGGTATAACTCAGTATATAGTTTATCTATGACTAGATAATCTATGAAGAGTCCAGTATCCTTGAGGGTGTTGGTTTCTTCTTCTATCTGCTGAAGAACCCACCGAACTAACTCACCAAACCCAGAGAATCCTAAGGACAAATAGTTAAGATAATTCCAATTAGGATTTCATGATTCCATTTTTTTATTTTGTAATCGACAACTCTTCATCTTACTCACTCATTTTACTTCGGTCTACTGCAGTCCTCCTTAATGGTTGACAGAAGGTGACAATTTCAACTGACTTTCTATTCAAAAGAATGCTTTCCGATTCACAATAGTACCCTTCGGTAAACCTTGATCTAAGAAATATTTATAAAAATATCCTCGTTTATTTTTCTACTGAAAATTTACCATTTTCAATTGTGGGGTTTCATGCAGCAATAGTAAACAAAGAAAATTTAACACTTTATTAAATAGAATAAAATCTTTCTGAGTGTTGCTAAGCGTTTGGATACCGTCCGTTCTGAATCGGAAATTCAACTCTAAAAATGTAGAGTCGATTGAAGTTATGCCTATAGTTACTTGTTTCTCTACCTTTGTTAGATTTATAGGATTTGAGTTTTTCCAGTTGGGTTTTCATCTCTGGCAAACGAAGGGTTGCAGCCTTAAACACATTTTTATCATTTACAAAAGTTTTTTTTTGTCTAATTAAGTTGATTAAAGGAACTAATTACTAGCTTTTCAAATCCGGCCTATTCCTTTATCTTTGCAGCCCGGTGTTGCAAACCTTTGATATCTAAACTATAGATTCTGTCAGATCAAAAAGTCAAAATTAGGGTTTAGATAAATTATTAGTTTGTTGCAAGTTATTAAATCCTTTAGATAAAGAAGAATTTATACCAGGGTAAAAAGGTGTTTCAACATTTACTTCCTTTCTTGTGAGATTAAAAAACAGTTTTTATCTGATTTGCTAAATATTTACCATATCTTACCTTTAAATTTTCCAGTTCTGTCAGCTGGATGGTCTTTTCCAGCAAACCACTTCGGTCAGACGTCATCAATGATCTTGACAAGTAAATTTTTAGAAAAAAATAAAAAAAATGAATTTCTACTTGATAAATTTTTCAAAGTTTCCAATTCCTTTCTATCCTACCTAATATAGACAGCTAAAGATCTGGCTAAAAACTTTCCTCTCAAAGAAATAACAGATTGTGATCCTAAAATAATAAGTTTGTAAATATTTGTTTTACCAAATATATATTAATAAAGTTTTTTTTATCAGTGCATTTGTTTATTTTAAGGGAAAAATAAAAAAAAATTGTGAAAAGTTTTTTTTCTGAATTAAATTTTTTTTTTGTAATTTGAAAAAAATCTCACCCAGTCCAATTGCACCCAAGATATTCTGACTCCAGCCTGGAGAGGTATCAGAGATTGAGATCAGAATCTCATAAAACTGACCTAGAGAATTAATTGCCCAAGCTGAATCCTTGGAGAGCTCAACTTGACGATACAGCAGCTGTGCAAGCTTCTTGTAAAGTATTGGTAGCTTGAATTCAAGGCCAGGCACTGATACACTCTGTAGCAGACGTATGTATTCCAATAATGATGATGCTAGAACCTGTTCCTCTTGACTGTTTAAACATTCTCCATGCTTCAGGTCAATAAAAGCATAAATAACTAGACCGTTACCAAGCTGTACAGACTGATCAAGAACCTCCTTGATTTTGATCCCGCTAGGCCATATTATTAATTGCTTAGCATGTCCCCAAGACGCAGTAGAGTTTTCTTCTTTAAAGTAGGTCTCCAGGGTTGATTCAAGCAAGGAACTGGCAAGCCTAGCGTCTTTCACCATAGTACCAGCTAAACTAAGTAATGCAGGAACTAGAGATGAAGATGGTGAAGTCTGGGTCAACCATGACTGAGTTACAACCAGAGCAGAACCAGGCAAAACAGAACTACTAGTTGTATTGAATATGCTCAAGTAATCCTTGACTATTATCCCTGAGCTGGTGGAAGAACCAATTTTGTTCATCTGCTCAAGAAGATTTCTTAGTGTTGTATGAAGTGCAGGCTGATTTACACTCAAAAAATTCTTCTGCTTATTACAAACAGAAGATAAAAGCTTAGCACAGCACTTAATCCACATAACCTGTTTTTTCTCAGAATTGGAGTTTTGGTGTTCAGAGCTGAACTCTGCCGCTGCTAAAAACAGGCGAATTATAGCAGCATCCAGGGGGCTTCTGTCCTTATGCTTTACTATGCATCTACAATCTACGCTCATGACATACCACTGAACAAGAGATTCAAAGTGGGCAAACTCAACCAACTCCCATGGCCAAGATTCTGACTGAGTAACTATGCTGAGTAATCGCCCACCTTGTCTTACAGAGGGCTCACTGCTAAGCTTAATCATAAGACAGAAAACAGAGGGAACTGCTCTTTTGACATATTCAAGCTCATTCATTTTCTGTACCAACAAAAATTGCCAATTTATTTGTACAAATATGGTGCCCAGAAATGCATGAGATTGAGGAAGAAACATGCTGATAATCTTCATCATAGCATCAATATCCCTCACAGTTGGACTGAAGGTTGACCAGTCTAGTGAGGCTAGGGCTGGATGAACTACACCAAAAATATGATCCTTTGTCCCAGCAGAAGCATAATAGCTACTATACATACTAAGCAGCTTGCTTAAAAGGTCTTTCTTTCCTTCAAATTCTATAATGACGATCAAGGATTGGGAAAGGGAATCAAACATCATCTTTGCTAAAGATGAATCTCCTGGAATCCAAGGCATCAGTGACTCTCCTTCATCACTTAGTTGTTGGATCCAGTTAGCTGTGGTTACCTTACTTGATGGGTTGATTGGACTTAGCCATGGATCATATAGGGTTATCATGTTTCTCCACAAGTAGTCTGTGGCTTCTGTTGTTAATACTCCTTTATTCTTTGATATTTCAGCATGAATCATTTGTAGAGAGAGCATAGTGAACAGATAACAGAGAGGTTTAAGATAAGTTCTGTACTTAGGATATAATCCATAAAGTCCAAATTTTAAGCGGTCTTTCTCAAAATGAGATGCTACTTCAGAGATAACTGACAGCACTATGAGATACTCACAACTATTTTCCTTAGCAAAACTGTGAAGAACTTCTTGAACTATTTCTGTGTCAGTCTTAGAATCAATCTGTGATTTAGAGTTTACAACTACCCTGAGTATGTCATATACAATTTCTGGATCTATCTGGTTCAGCCCACAAAGATTCAACACTGTTTTAAGAATTGTTATGTACTTTGCTGGAAAGTTGTATTTCAGTATTTGTGACATATGTTTTCTATGAAGACCATGTATCATCAGTCTGCTCTCCTCTGGTTGATTTCCAGTTATCTCAAAATTTCTAAAAATTAACCCCAGGAGCATTAAAACATCAGCTTCTTTGGGAACTAAACTTAGCCACTCCACAATATCTAACTTTGACAAAAGTACAAAAGATATAGATCCATCTCCATCTGGTAGCTGAGTGATCTTAGTGTAAACAGTAAGTAGGTCTGAGCTATTGGGGGAAAAATGTGGGGTCAATATGGATGACAAATGTGGGGATGCTTGTAACAAATCCAGAATCATCTCTGCTCTACATTCTCCTTGTGAAGCAACAATTGTTGCAAGATTGTCTAGACATTCAGATACAAAATGCCGCAAAGGAGGAACACTTAACCAATTTTCTGATGTTGATCTCGCTAAATGACAAAACAAATTTGATGCTAAAGTCAAATGAATTGATCTGACACCCTTACCAAGATCCTTTTCAAATGCTTTCAGAATCTTTGTGATTATGTTATTCAAGACTGTAGCAGCAATAACATATTTTGGAGGAATTGCAGCCAAGAGTTTATGCTCCACCTCTGCATGATTTTTTCTGTTTGCTTCTAATTTTACAGCTATACCCTCCTGCTTCTTTGCTTCAGTAAAGATAAGGTTAACTATGGCAGGCCCAGAGCAAGCAATATGCTCCTTGCCAACAGTTCTGCCTGAACATGCAGCGGGAACATAAACAGAAACCTCCTCATTTTTCCACAAATTTTCAATAATCTCTAGATAGCTGCAGTTAAATGACCCATACCCTGATATATTCATGCAGTGATTATCTGAGAAGTCATTCAGAGTCTGCAGAGGTCCCATCAGAGCTTGTGACAAGGCATCATTAGATGTTGGTTCAGAAAACCTTGGAATTGGATTAGCCAATCTTCTTAGCAGAGGAGCTGGAAGCCTTGATTCATTGAAATTTAATCTTTGAATAATTCTTTCTTTAGGTGTCCTGGATGCAAGCAAATTATGAGGAACATTCTTTTTTTCCATCAGTTGTCTAAAATGCAGCAAATTCCACTCTTTGACAGATTCTGAACAGATTTTTTCTGTAATTTTTCTATCAAAGTATTCCATCCAAATAGTTGAATCTCCACTCATTAACTTGACTAGTTTAGCAGGGTCATACACTGGTGTTAAAGCAGGGATATACAGAGATGAGTCCATAATCTTTGTTTCATCAATCCATATGTAAAATGTTCTGAACAGTTTGCATATTTCATCACAAATAACCTGATCCTTCTTTTCTGATGAATTTAATTGCTTCTCAAAGTGTTTGATAAAAGACTTCAGACTTGATTTAATCTTACCCAGGTACATTGAGTTTATCATACCCGAGAAAAAATTGGTTCCCACTCCTGCAGCATTTTGTCCTTCAATGAGTTCAGCAGGCCTTGAAAGATAAAGTCCAAAAAATCGTTGCCAAAACACAAACAGAAGAGGATGTTCAGGAGGGGTATCAATTGCTTGCTGAGCCCAGCGATAGATAATAAGCTGATTGCTTTTAGGAGGGTTAACTTCTGTAGACTTTCCGGAATCTTTCAATGAATCCTCTAAGGTTTTTCCCTTAGCCAATTCTGACACAAGTGCTCTCCACAGTCCACTTTTATGCATGTAATTTTCTTCTGCTTGAAATATAAAATATGATAACCAAGAAAATTGAGAATTTCCTGAAGCAATGAGTGTTTGTCCATGGTTTCCAAAACTTGAAATAAACGAAAAAAGACTTCCTGAGTTAGTCTTTTTGTTGTTTTCCAAGTGCATTTTTTCAAACAGTTCCAACACTGTCAAATGGCACTCATTGTGACCAAATGCATAGGCACAAACAATATCCAGCAGGTACATCACACAATTATTTGAGTTCCAGTTTGGAACTCCAATAAATAGCTTGAGCAGAAGGTCCAAAATATCTTTTCTAGAGAATACTCGTATTGTGTCAATAATAGAAACCATCTTGTGGACCATATTTCCTAACTCTTTTGTGACAGGTCCAGGAAAAGTTCCTGTTATCATTGTTTTGGCTATAGAAAGATAGGTTTGATCTGCATGGACTAATCTTGAAATTATGTAAGTTAGATCAGAACTCTCCAATGCATTCACATCCACCAAAAGTATAGGAATAATGTAAAGAATTAACTCCATAACATGGTCCAGTCTTCCATAATCAAGGATAACCTTGATAAATCCTAGACCTCTCTCCAAAATCTCAGGAAGAGAATGTCCAACTTGTGTTAGTATAAGTACTCCATAGCAAGCCATTGGCTGCTTTCCTACTGCTGCATTAACCACTGTTTCAATCTGAGGGCTCAAATCAAAGTCTAGAAGGTCAGAAAATATTTCAGGATTTCCAGACAACAAGGCATCATATTCCCTAAGAGATCTGTCCATCATGTGCAGTCTTAATCTAGACAGAAGCTCCCAGCACCATTTGGTAAACTGTTGTTCTTGTGAACCACAAGGGGATAAAGTTGCCATTGCAAGATTGTTTATGGTATTGACTGACGAGTTAACAATACCCTGACTATCTGATCTTTCAGTAAACTTAGTATGCACTTCAATAATGGTTATTGCAGTGGTGATGTGATGTTGAATTGGGAGATGGCCAAATTCCCAATTGAATTGAGATAACACAATTCGTGCAGTTGCATTTTCATAACCAGAAATAGGAGATTGTAACCAGTTGAATAAGACTGATAAATCCTCTGAAACTGGTTGCATAAGGTTCCAAGGCAGCTCCTGCACTAAATAGCTACTAAGTTTTCCAATATCAAAAATCTTTAACTTTAAAACTTGAACCATGTATGAGAGCAAAAAGGGATGCTTAGAACAAACACTTGACAACAAATCTCTACAGTTTCTGCAGTTTGCCTCTCTTGTTGTTTCAGATACAAATCCAATGTAGAACAAGTCCATTACAACCCTCTTAATAAACACCTCTTCTTGTCTTTTCCTAGACACTCCCATATTAGCAAAGGCTGAAAGTAAGAAGAAAAGTTCAGTTTCCTCTGCCTCTGCACACTTCTCTTCAAATTGAATCTGAAGATCTGGACTTGACATCACTTCAACCCAGTCCGTTATCTCAGAGCCAAAGTCATTATGGCTTTCTTCTTGATAGTCTAGGTGGAGAACATAAAAGATCCTCCACAACATGTCTGAAGAAATTGTCCCATATGGAATATCAGCCAAATATTGCCAGATGCCAAGCTTCAGGGAAGAAAAAATGCACTTTGTAGCCCGTAAGAAAAAACAATCATACTCAAGCTGCAGTCTTTGATACATGGATGGATGTAAATTGCTTGTTTTGGCTGATTTGAAGTTTTCCCAATGATCAGATACAAAGTGTACTGTCTGGCGGATCAGTCTACCCAAGCGCTTTGCAAACTGACGGTACTTAGGAGTATTAAATGTCTTCAATCCTTCTTTTAGCAGATAGACAAACTGTGTAGCAAAAGCAAACAGCTTCAGCATAGACTGCTCAGTTGATCTTGTTATATCATAGTAATCCTTTCCATCCCTTTCTTCTATTCTCAACACATACCTTATAATACATACAATTTAACCGGAAAGAAAAATTTATTTTAAGATTAAGTAAGATTTATCATTGAAAACCAGAGCTTTGAATAATTTTTAATTAAATTTAATAATTTTTTATCAAACTTATATTTTTTACCTGAACATATGATCTATAGGGATCTGGTTGAGAAGAGCAATTAGATCAGCTTCTCTGAGTTCCGCCCAACTTTCTTGAGGATCCTCATCCTCACTACCTTCATCATCCAACACAGTCCAGATTGAATCTTCTTTGTCTCCAATACCATCAAAGGTCTAAATGAAAATGCGTAAATACAGAGTGGCCAAAACTTTTAAATCCTTACAAAAAAAACGTACATTTTATACAAAAAAAAATAAAAAATTAATATTTGGAAAAAAGCATCCAAAATAAAAAAAAATTCCAAAGCTAAAAAATTTAATTTCTTGTTTTTATTATCATTCATCTTCCTTTGTGTTTGTATGTCAGCAAAGGCTGACCTTAAATTGCTTTGAAATTTATCTGTAACAATCACTGCACTGTTCATTGTACAGATGATAAAGATGATAAACCCGGATGAAAAAAAAACAATGATAAAATAAAAAATACAATTTAAAAATCTGCTCGCTTTTTATGTTTTTACTATTATATAAGCTATTGTCTTCATTTCCTGAATTGGTTTCCTTATTGATTGGCAATAATGAATTACTTTATCAACAGTCTACAAAGAGTTCCCAATAAACATGGGAATTAATTGACTCATTATCTAATGGGGGAGCTGACGGGTCGGGCTACTCGTTTTTTCTAAGGTCACTCAGAGCACAAATGAGTCCCTTTGTTATAAATAAAGTGACTACTTTAAGAAAGTCTTTGATTTTTAATTAAGACACAACAAAGACAGACCATATTTTGGAGAGTTTAAAACATGTACACACGTAAATGATGACGTCTTCTTAATTCCCATGTTTTTGTACTTTTTTGGGGTAATTTAGCAATTTCAGATATATCTGAATTTAAAATGAAAAGAAAAAATTTCATAATTAGGAAGTGACTGCATTATAAAAAAGAAGAATATTTAAAAATAAGGGAATCCCAAATCCCATTCCGTTCATTACGGATGGAGCATAATTCTCAAGTTTGTGTATGCCCTCTTCTTTCTGGGCCTCACACTGTTTATGTAACAATAACTTCTTTGAGTATAAGAGATTGCTCGGTGTTTTCAACTTTTTAATTTTTCACATTTTTCTTTCAATTGCTCTTAAATTATGAAAAAATTGAGATTTTCTTGAATCAAAAAAATAAACGATAATCCGAGGTTACTTTTAAGCTAAAATTTAGAATAATTGATAAATATTTTTTGAGCTAGAGCAATCAAATTGAATTGCCATTTAAAAAATAAAGAAAAGAAAGCTATGGTACCGACCATATGCTAACTTTGTTCAGTCGAAAACATTCGATATTTTTTTTAAAAATATTTAATTAAAATCTGGTTAAAATAAATTACTAAGTCGTTGTAACAAAAAAATATGAGACTTCAAAAGAAAAAATTTACACCTGGAAATAACTGACATTTTAAGCGTTTCAATGACACCTTGATTGTGAAAATTAAGCAAAAATTGTTCCCTCAGTACCAAATACTGCAAAGTTTTTTGTGGAACACCATGTATTTATGGAACATATTCTCGAAAAGATGAAAGCTTGAATTTTGATTGTCAATTGAAACAACAATCAATCTGATGTAATTCGAAATGAAGATAGTAAGTTGAACTTTATTTTGACGTCTTTTTAAAAAAAATTGTATGCACAAAATTAGCTTTTATTAAGTCGTAATAAAAATAAAAATAATGTTTTCCGGGCTAAAAATCCTTATAATTTAAGACATTATCCATACATTCCGTACAATCCGAACATTTTTAGGTAAAATTCCGTACAATCCGTACAATTTGGCCACGCTATAAATAACAAATTTGAAACTATAAATTACCATTTTGTCAGAATTGCACTGCTAAGAATCTGGATAGTGGGTATGGATCCATTGGATTCGCAAAACTTTGGCTTCCTGGATACAGATCCGCAAAAATATGCAGATCCAAAGGCCATATCAACCAAATAACTGTTCAATAAATTTGGTTTCAAAACACAAATCTCAACTGTTGAAAAATACAGATTTTTAAAAATTTTCTTATCACTGAATGGTTTGTCAAGTTTCAGCATAAAAATAAACAAAAACAAAAAGAAAAATAACTTAGATGTTTCTTTTAAGGTTGTACTTGGTATGCTGAATAGTGTATTATAGTCTGTTCTTTACCTGTCTGTGCTGGGTAGCCTTAATTCTGTATTCTTGGATAAAGGATACCCTCTCCTTGACAGGTAGAAGGATTGTAGCAAGAATAGTTATCAAGTGATCTAAATAATTAATCATGTTTAATATTTATCAATCCGGATTTTTTGTTATAAAAAGGAAATGTTAAGAACTAATAAAATAAAAAAGTTTTTAAGCACGTTCAAACAAACAATAAGTAAACAACAAAAATCTGATTCTCACATAAACACAGTTCAAAAAATACATTTAAAATTATCAAACCAAACCTAGGAAAGGGTTTTCAAAAGTTGTTTCTTCTGAATCTACCACAGGGATAGCAGGCTGAAGATAGCTGGCTCCCCACTTACCCACACCAGCTGGACACCTAATCATATCAGGATGATGAAAATAGTGATGATGAGGGCGATGATTAAAATAAAAATAATGACAATGTTGATGATAATGATCCTAATGAGAATGATAATGAAATTGACAAGATTGACAAGAATTAATGATAATGATTAATGATACCCTACCTCATTAAATGATTCAGAATGAAGAGATGATCATAAAGTGTACTGCTCGACAATACTACAACAAACATGAGAAGATCATGATCGAATTTGATTAAAACTAAGAAGATAAGATCAAACAAAAGTTAAGTATATTTGCAGTTTGGATCAGGATCTTTTTGAGGATCCGGAACCAAAGACTTAAATTATTGAAGATCAAGTAACACCGGATACAGATATTGATACTAAGAATCTCCTACCTACTCCGATGGTTCTGTCCAACCAGATTCTCAAATCTCTGGACAGTTTGTCATCTTGGAGATCCTTTCGTAGAAACTTAAAAAGGACACTAACAGCCAACCGTAACTCCTCCTAAAACAGGGAAAATACAAATAAAAAGAAAACGCCATAAAACTTCTGTAAAATCTAGAGAAAAAAATGTTTTTGTTTTCTAGGTTCAACACATACCTGATTTCCTTTAGCAATGAAGAATGTTAAGCTTTGTGATAAATTTTTTAAACTATGTCTTAACTCTTAATCATTGTTTCTCAAATAAAAATGTTTTAGAAAACACAATTTTTAAGAAAATGTGATAAAAATACCTGCGGAGTAAAAACATAGTTGGATGTATCATTGGTGAGAGTTCTTTCTAGAACATTATGAATACACTCTTCAACCTTTAACCTTAATTTAAACTATAGAGATATTGTTAATTATATTAGAAGAAATCACACTAACATTGATAAATTTGTCCCCATTAAACCAATCGATAAAAGGGAAGAGAAACTATTAATGTATAGAGATATTGTTAATTATATTAGAAGAAATCATACTAACATTGATAAATTTGTCCCCATTAAACCTATCGATAGAAGGGTGGAGATTGGATAAACTATAGAGATATTGTTAATTATAGTATCAACGTATTAACATATCAATACATCAACATATCAACATGTAAACAAATCAACTGATCAACATGTCAACTTATCAAAGTATCAACGTATTAACATACTAACATAACATATGAACAGATCAACATGTCAACATACAACATTTTAACATATCAACGTATCGATGTATCAATGTATTATCATACCGACCTCAACACATAAACATATCAATGTTAACCATAACAACCTTAAGAGTATCTATTTTTCATTCATTTTTCAATCATTCTAAGAAAAATTAAGTAAAACGGGATTGATACTGAACATAAAATTTTTGACAAACTTTCTTCATATTTTTATATCAAGTTTCAAATAAAAATTGCCAAGAAAAAAAATAAAAATGAAAGTGAAAAATAAAGAAAAATAATTTTGGCGCAAAATAAACCAACCTGCAAAGCTCTGATCTAAAATTATATAAGGCCAAGGTTTCACCAATCAGATCTCTAGCCTGCATAAATTTTGTCCTAAATAAAAAAATTGATTAAGAAATTGTCTTTCTGTCTGGTAAAGTTATGAGTTTAGACAATTTCTTTATTTGTCTAGTAAATCATCTATTTAGTATATGTAGTGTACTGCGTACATTTCGCTTCGTAGATTTTCCTTTTTTGAGTTGGGAGAAAAATGAATAGTAAACAAACGCACAGCATTTTTTGGGAGAAGGTTAACAGAAAACACAACGCCCTTTTTCACACATGGCTTTCCAAGGTTGAAAAAGCTTGAAATTATACTAAATTACTACAGTTATGAGTTGGATTTGTAACATAACTGGGTTGATTCATTGAAACTTAAACGGAGGGAGCTCAAGCCTACAACCTAGATTGAAGGTTTGACAGCGATTATTATTATTATTATTATTAAACAACGATGCTTAAAACATTGACCTGAGAGTTCTGCAGCCTTCTGGATTAAACTCTGCTACGGTTTTTTCTTTAACAGCTTTCACTTCAACTTCATCTTCACATTCTCCCTCCCCTTCTTCCTTCTCTTTAGTTACCAACCACAGACCTTTCTAAAATAAGAGAAAAATAAATAAACTTGATGGAAGCTTGAACCTGGTAGGATGACCTGAACCTGATCCGATGACCGCGGAACCTGGTAGGATGACCTGAACCTTGTAGGATGACAGGAATCTGGTAGAATGACCGAAACCTGGTAGAATGACCTGCACGTGGTAGGATGACTTGAACGTGGTAGGATGACCTGAACCTGGTAGGATGACCTGAACCTGATCCGTTGACCGCGGAACCTGGTAGGATGACCTGAACCTTGTAGGATGACAGGAATCTGGTAGAATGACCGAAACCTGGTAGAATGACCTGCACGTGGTAGGATGACTTGAACGTGGTAGGATGACCTGAACCTGGTAGGATGACCTGAACCTTGTAGGATGACCTGAACCTGGTAGGATGACCGGAACCTAGTAGGATAGCCGGAACCTGGTAGGATAACCGGAACCTGGTGGATAACCGGAACTTAGTGGATAACCGGAACCTGGTAGGATAACCGGAACCTGAAAGAATGACAAGAACCTGGTGTAATGGCCAGAACCTGGTAGGAGAACCGGAACATACCTGGAGCTGATCAATATTCTCCTGAATTCTTTCCAACTGTTTCCGGCTGCCGATTAAATTCATACGAACCCTCTGATAGTTCGTTAATAATTCGTCCAGTTCAAATCTTAGCAAAAAAATAAAAATAAAATGCAATTTTTAATATGAAAAACATTTAATAATTAGTTATCTGAATATGAATCTGGAGTTTCTTATACAATCAATGATCACATCTACAATCTACAAGGTGTCCCATTAAAAAAGGTTATGAGAGTTTTTGTAGCTTTATGATAAATCTCAAATTTGGGCCCGGTACAAAACTTTCAACTATATTGCAGGGTCTTGTTTTTAACATTTTTTGATCTGAATCCTTGCTTCTGTGAAGAGGGTAAAAAAATCAGATATGTCTGTATAAACAAAAATGTTTGAAAAGTCAAAAAATATTTGTTAAACCAAAATTGGTATGAATAGTAGACCTATGGACTTCTTTCTATGAAAAATTTGGATCCTCAAAATTCTGACTTTATGTTTTCACAGATTTTCTATTAGAACTAAAGGGAGCAACTGGTAAAAGACTCCAAAACCCTTATCACGTTTTTTTTTCTGGATAACATTGTAGGCAGGGGTGCATCACTGCATATCTTTAAAAATAAAATAAAAATGAGAAATTGGACATAATAAGGCAAGTTTTTTAAATTGTTAAAGGGAGTGACCGGCTATGTGAGGAAGTTGAACTGAGTATGCAGTGTTGTGGAAAACTTCTTTCGGATTTATTTGAGACATGTTAAACTTTTTAAAGATCAGTAAATCCTGAGTTTGAGCGCAAATTCGACGTTCAAAACTCCTACTTTGGGGGTGGATACGTTTTCAGAATTAGTTTGTTTTCAATTATTAAATAACGACGACAAAAAATGTAAAAAAAATTCTACAGTAAACTAATTGTTTGTCTGTCTGTCTGTTTGTGTCCAATAAACGTCAAAACGGCTGAACCGATCGGGCCCAAATTTTTTGTGGGACCTCACGGAGCCCCACGGAAGGTTTATGAATGATCAAAATTTCAAATATACGGAGCCCCACGGAAGGTTTATGAATGATCAAAATTTCAAATATACGGAGCCCCACGGAAGGTTTATGAATGATCAAAATTTCAAATATTTGTCTCCATCAAAATTCGATCTTCATTAAATTTTTGAAAATTTTGAAAATCCACGAAATTTCTTGTGAAAATCCGCGAACTATTTTTGTTTTGTTTTACGATGTACACAAAGAGAACATGTTCACAATTAATTTAGAAGATGGGCGCGAAGCGCCCTCTAAGGCTAGTCTATATATAAATTTGGCTTGTCTGTCTGTTTGTTTGTTTGTATCCAATAAACGTCAAAACGGCTGAACCGATCGGGCCCAAATTTTTTGTGGGACCTCACGTGACCACAGGGAAGGTTTATGAATGATCAAAATTTCAAATATTTGTCTCCATCAAAATTCGAGGGCTAGTAATGATAAAAACGAAATGATTGATTCTAGCATTGATTTATTGACAAATTTCTTTTGAAAAATATGTTCACAACCATCTAATTAGATTACTGTAGGATTCTTAATTTATTTTTCGTCGTCGTTATTTAGTAATTTAAAAAAAAAGATTCTGAAAACGTATCCCTCTTCAAAGTAGGAGTTTAGAACGTCGAATTTGCGCTCAAACTCAGGATTTACAGATCTTTAAAAGGTTTTATATGTCTCAAATGAATCCGAAAGAAGCTTTCAACAACACTACATACTCAGTTAAACCACCTTACACTCCCTTTAACCGAAAAATTAGTTTACTTTCCCCAACTGAGCGAAAAAAAAACCTAAAAAAAACTTCTGGCGGGGAAAAAAATATTTTCAAAAGAGGAGGGGGAATGATTTTTCAGGAAAATATAATTACCAACTGTAGGTCTATGGACAATGGACAATTGTGTAGAATTGTTTTAGAGCAAACAAATCCCTTAGAAAAAATGTATTAAGATAATTAATTTAATAACAGAAATATTACTTTTCAATACTCTGCTGAGTCTCCAACCAATGATTGACAAACTCATGGTTCTTCTCAAGCTCAACATTGTGGTACAGGGTGTGCAACTAGATCAGGAACATCGTAAATTGTTAGTTTTTTATATACATTGGTGCAAGTTCAGGTTATAGATAATCATAAATCAAGTGCATTTTAAGGCCTTCAGTCAAAAAAAATGTAGTTAAGAGTAAGACTTAATTACGTTTTCTGCCGGATGTATGCAATAAGAATGGATACTTTTCCGCCTTGACCAGATTTTAATTTAATAACCAGCTTTATTCCATTCAGAATTTATCAATTATTTCAATATCTAGATACCTGACGCGTCTTCACCTTCTAACCTTATGCAAGTAAGATCTTTGTCATTTTTTAATCTTTCGTAAACGGAATGAGCCCGAATTGATCCCAGCTCTTAACTGATTTTTTTTTGATAAATTCTGGGGAAATAAGTTCCAAATCTAACAGTTGGCCTATTTCTAACAATGAGTGTAAGAAATGGGCCAAATCTGCAAAGTTAAATCTTTAAATCCAACATACATTCAATGAAAATGAGTAAAACTGTATATTGAAACAAATACCGCATTTCAGCTCATGTCGCGTTTTTGGAACATATCCCAATTTCGAGACAATAACTAGAATTCATATCTATGTCACTTTTAAAGCATTTACACACTTACGTAACAAAGCACGATTTTTTGATAAGGTAAAATATAAACAAAATAAGAAGTAAAAACAAACTATTCTTTGACAATTATAAAATCATTACGGCATTAAGAAATTAAAATAATAAGAATATTTTTTTTTTACAATATAGATTTAACTAGAAATCCGGGAAACTATTTGTTAAAATGCGGCAAAATAATTCGGCTGTTTTCTCTTTATTTAACAAATAAAATAATGAAATTTAGATTCTAGTTAAAGTTCAACAGTTAGTTTAGTCTTCATAAGATAATTTTTGTTTTTAGTGATTCATTTTGTAAGTTATAAAAGTGAGTTTTTTTTGTTTTAAATTGAGGATTATACTCAAAAAAGGGAAAGTGGGATTTGTCTCGAAAACGCAAAAATGATTGAACTTCAGGATATGTTTGAAAATGGAAAACCCGACATTGTCTAGAAAAAGGTCAAGGGTTTTATTTTAAATAGCACTCACTTTATAATTTTGTTTTCAGAAAAGAGTTTAAAATTTGAAATTGTTATCCTCGTCACACTTAATAAAATGATGGTAATAGGTTTTACTACCGACTTTTACTCTCGATATGGGCCGAAATTCTAAAAACCCAGTCTTTCAATTTGTGCTTATTTCTAACACTCAGTGTTAGAAATGGGCCAAGTGTTTGTTTTGGAACTAATGTCCCCTGAAATTAGAAATTAAACAACTGCTGACTTCACGTATAATTAAAAAGTATCTTGCATAGGCGCAACTAGGGGGGGCGGCCGGGCGCGCGACCTCCCCTAGCACCTGANTTTGTAAGGCTAAGGCTAAGAAAACAAATAACCCTTATCAGACTCAAGGCTTTAAAAACGGGAGCAAAATACATTAAATATACTTGATTAATATATTAAGAATAAGTTCAAAAAAAGATATTTCTTTTCCAAGTCGAAATACAAAAAAAAATATCCATTTCTATGTTTCAGAATCCGGAAGAAACATATTAACTTTATCATAGGCCAATAAAATTGTTTAAGGAATGCAGATCCAACAATTTTTAACTAGAAAGGATCCTTAAAGATTATTTCTTCGTATTTAAGATATTTCTTTATTTGTTTTCTTATTGTAAACTAAGTTCACCTTGATGCTCCATGTAATAATCCTCTATACTGCATTTTGTGGAGCCGCCTTCCTCTCCCTCATCAAATTGTGGAGCACTAGGAGAACATATTGGAGCACTTGGAGATTGATTGATTTCATAAGCGGGAACACTGGCGCTTGATGGAGGTGCAGACGCTGAATACTGATCAATACTTGGAGCTGTTGCTGATATTGAATCAAAAACTGGAACTGAAGGAGTTGAGGGAGCAGAAGGAGCTAATTCTTTATATTCCTCGTTTAATCTCATCCCTTCAAGTTCCTAAAAGGGTTTAAAAATGTTTTTAAAAAGTTTTTAACAGTTTTTCTGCATTTTTCGGCATTCTTATTATTATTATTATTATTATTGAACAACCGGTCATGAAAATTACAAAAAAATTATTAAAGGAGCTAGTAATAGACGACATATAAATATAGTTTACATTATTCATCAGATTATCTGATTTAGATGAGGATTTAAAGGGCACCGTTGTGAATCAGGGATGTAAAAGGCAGTTAAATTTCAAGATGAAATTACAAGGACAGTCCTATATTAAAGGAAAAGATCAGTTTACCTTATTTAGAAATAAATGTGGCTCCATTCGATGTAGGTTTGTGTTTAAGTCAGAATATGAAGATCGATCATCCGCTACAGCCTTGACAGCTTGAACAGATTGTGATTCATTTTCAGATTCAACAGCTGGTTCACTGCTAACAGCTCCAGCATCTGTGACAACTGCTTCAATTGTTCTATGATCATCAGTAGTTAAATCTGTTTTGATATTAACACTTTCATCACGGATAACTAATTTGGTATGATCTTTAGTATTGATCTCTACCAGTTTCAAATCTTCGGGACTCTGAATAAAATCCGCCAAAACTGGGGCGGACGGTATTTCTTCGTCAATTGTCTTCTCCTTTTTCTTTTTACTTCTCTCCGGTTCCTCCATACTAATCTGAAATTAATCAGTCTACGTTGAAAAAAGAAAATTTATTGTTATCACAGAAATAATTTGGAATTAGCTCAATTAAGGGTATACTAATGCTGATTAGAATTACAGTAAATAGAATATTTAATAAATATGTTGAATGCTCATTGTTTAGGGATAATTATTTTTCTTAAACGTACAGATAGATCACCACTCTCACTAAATCAGCAGAGCCGGCGATTTAAAAAATTCAAGAAAATACGACTCGGGTCTAAGCTGTTGTTGAGCCTTATTTACGGCTCGGGCTTTCGGATTAAAATTGCATCTAATTTTCAACAGAGTTTAGTTCATAAAACCGGCTAAATTTTGTATTTGGCGGATTTTCATAGTTGGAATTGGCGCATTCCGGGTTTTGATGAGAAGAAGACCCAACATTGAGCCTTATTCTTCACTAAAACCAACCAAGGTCGGTTTTATTTTCATTGGGCTTAACTCCTTAAGTCGAGCCTAAAATCTCGCAGCTGTCAATCACGTGACACAAGCTGTCGTCAGAGTTGGGCCGAACATTGGGTCTTAAAGTCGGGTTTAAGGAATTGCGACTCGAGCCGAAGTTTTTAAATCGCGAGCTCAGATGTGTCACGTTAAGGGACTGAAGAAGTAATTTCAATTTATTCTTCATTTAAAGAGAGTGGCATGCCCGATTCACAATGGTATCCTTACAACTTTTATCTGGGTAACAATATCGTTGATTTCAATCTTAACACGTGTTGACGTTTAACTCTTTCCTGTAAAGTCTCTGTAGCATAGATCTGCAAAGCACTTTTATTGAGAAACCACAGTTATTAACAATCAATTTTCCGAAAGAAAAAAATTGGATATCTTACTCAGCCTTAATTGAACAAAGGTTTAGAGGGTACCGTTGTGAATGGAACATTTCACTCTACAAATGAAGGATCACTTGAAAATGCGTCTTCAGTACCTATCACTTTTAAACATAAAAGTAAATAAATATCTTAAACTTTTAAAAAGTGAATATTTAACTCTTTCGTTTTCTATTCCCTTTGCCAGGTTTCCTGGGGGTATTATTTCCCCCGGCCTCGGCGACCTCGCCAGGTTCACTCACAACTATACTTCCGGCCTCAAGCTCACTTCGCATAGGAGACTCCTTTATCTAAACAACAATGCAAATATTATCAATAATAATTCATAACAGGGTTATATAGTGGGATACATAAAAGTGTGGAATAGGAGGACGTCTCTTAGTAAAAAAATAAACCTCTGATAAAATAACTAAAAATTGTTCTTGAATAAAGTGGCCTTTTCTTTCTACGGAGTTTGGCAGTAAAATTTACAGATTCGTGTTTTTAGAGAAAAATATTTAATTGGGTTTTTAAATAAAAACGAGGCCATTAAGAGAAAATCATTTGTAAGGCTAAGGCTAAGAAAACAAATAACCCTTATCAGACTCAAGGCTTTAAAAACGGGAGCAAAATACATTAAATATACTTGATTAGTAGCTCACCATATAAGCAAAAAAATACCTTATCCTGGGCTTGAAGGAAGAACATCAGATCTCGAACCTAAAATTATAATTTTCAAAAAATCAAAAAATGTTGCTTAAAATTTTCAAGAATAAAATCTTTTTCTATAATTGTTAAGAAGCAATAAAAAAAATTGTAAGAAATTAAAAAGTTCCACCTGCTCTTTGAGTTCCTTAACCTCGTCATCCTTCTGTACTCGAAGCAAATTCATCTCTATCTCGGTAGCTCGCAATCTTTTCTGCCAATCCTCCTGAACATTTAGGTTTTAGAGGGTAATAAATTTCTTGAAGTTTTAGACCATTAAAGTTTTACAGGTCGCCACGGTCGTTCAAGTCGCAGAAGGTCGCAGATGTCATAAAGATCATAAGGGTCAAGAGATATTGATGCCAATAAGTTCAAAGAGACCACAAAGATAATTTAGATCACAAAGATCATATTGGTAACAAAGGTTATTAAAGTCACAAACTAAAGTAAACTGTATGTAGAAATTTATCCCAGACAAGCGAAGACGACAAAACAATAAACCTCCTTGGATGATAGACATATTAAAACTTGTCAGATTAAAGCAGAGACTGTACAATGTTGTTTCGCGAACAAATGGTTTCAATCTGTTAATGAAACGCCCCTGGAGTTACTGGTCTGATGATGGAATTCTCATGGTTTGGAGACGTGAGAACTGCAGTGAAGTTTGCAGTACTCTAACTGAAGAAACCGGTTTTATTTTATGTACTGCGCCTATTCAATCCACCCTGCAGACATAACAAGGTGAATACTGGAATAGTATTCTATTGAACAGTAGAGCGGCCGATTTACGTCGCTTTATAAGTGTACAATGTCTGCATGAGTGCTAAAAGTGATCAAGAACAATATGAAGATAGAGGTCACTAAGGGTTGAAAAGTGGTGACACAGGTCATGGAGGTCACCAAAGTCATAGAGGTGTTACAAAGTTCATAGATTACAATGATCATAGATCCTAAGTTCATAGATCAATAAGATCATAGAGGTTACAAAGTTCATAGATCACACAGAAAAGTTGTCGCAAATTTCATAGATCACTAATATCATAGAGGTCACAAAGTTCATAGATCACAAATATTATAGAAGTCACTAAGTTCACAGAGCACAAAGATCATAGAGGTCACAAGCTTTGTAGAGATCACAGATCATACGGTCCGTCCGATCTTCCTTTTCCCATTTAAATTTTTGATTTATATCTTATGTTTCATGTTGCTTTTAGATACACATTGGTTCTGATGGAATACTTGTAACCTGGTTTTGAGCTAGACTTCTATTCAGCTGTTTCTCCTCCTCCAGCAGAGAGTTTAGTTTGGAGAGTTTAGAACTCATCTGGGCAATCTTGGTTTCAAACTTTATCCTCTCTCGAGTTAACACTTCTAAAACAAGAAACAAGACTCTTATTTAGGATTCTTAAGAACACGTCATTTCCCACTGTTCCTCGTTCAAACCAAGTGTCTTTCCAGTTAAACCCAGTAATCTGATTTATTCTGAACCATTTCAATTCATATGAATTCCGGACCCAGCGGTAGCAACCACAATAAAATACCAAAGTACAAAAATTTCAGACATTTTCTTATATACCTCAGGACAATTAAAACTATCGCTTTAACAAAATTTTTTTTAAAAAATACAATTTTTTCTGTCAGTTTTTTTTTTGATGGATTCGATGTTTTTGCTTATTGCAAAAAATTGAAAAATCTACAAGAATGTGCTATGATGGTTAGGAGTGTCAGCCCCAACTTCATTGAAGGACAGATCGTCTTTCAATTATAATAATAATCATGACTGTACTTGAATTCTGTGGTTTTATTAACATACTAGCTTAAAGGCGTTGCCCGAGAATTTTTTTTTATTTAAAAAAATTTGGAATTTAGCAATCCCCGGCCACCCATGAGTGTCCACGAAAAATGGCAGCCCAATAGGTCCAGCAGTTTTGCCGGCTGTACGCAACATATATAGGAATTTTGTAAAGAAATTTCAAATTGCAATTGTCAAGAGCTTATTTTCGATCAAAGAGTGAATGCTTACAGCACTAAGTATTCTTAAGCGGTCACCCATCCAAGTATTAGCTCAATGTTATTTATTTGTTGCTACTAACCTAGTTCTGATTGCATTTTAACCTTCTCCTGGTGTGCTAGTTTAGCCCTGCTGGTGACCTCCATCATCTCCCTCCCGGCCTCCTCCTCCATCCGAGCCAGCTTACTCTCAAAATAATCTCTCTGAGACTCCAACTAAAAATGTTGATTTCTATAATTATTATGAAGCAGGCAAAAGGAGCAAAAAATCCAAAAACTATAAAGTTAATTTTTGACAAGAGTGAAGGATAACAGCAGTAAGAGTCAATATGATAGCATTTCTGCTCTGAACGCTGGCACCCATAAAACCTTAGTTGCGGGTTCGAAGGCATAACACATCCGTTTTTCGTCCGAACCGCAGAATACACCCCAAACTTAACCGTGGTTAGTTGAGCGCAATGCCGAAAAGTATTTCCCCTCCCTCTCCTATCTGTGTTTACTACAGTGTAAAGTGTATATAACCTGTGATGTGAGAAGGTATGTGTACTCCATCTGTAAACTATCCATCTTCTCGTCTGAATCAACATGAACTCCTCCAACACTACTACGCTTCCCACCTTCTCCCCCTCCCTCCTGTTCTACCAGTTTACCATCACTAGTATTCTGAACCAATCTAAAATCAAAAACTCGAATAGGTAAAATTGTTCAAAAACAATGTTTATTGCGAACAATTATAAAACTTATTCAAATAACCAACTTTCTTTAATTATACACGTGAACTACAATTTGATCTTTTGTGAACTAGGTTTTCAGGCCCCCTTTCCTATTTACAATTTGAGGTTTCAACTGTTGCTCTGAAAGTGACCATTTTTAGTCATTTTCAAATTTTGCCGTTTTTGTATGAAAATGAATAATAATCATTGAATTTTTTTCCGGGCAAATTTTTTTAATTGCTAATTAGGGCCCGATCGGTTCAGCCATTTTGTCAGTCATTGGATACAAGCAAACTTGTATCCGCCAAAGAACTCAATTAATTCCGTGTTCGAACCCCAACAGGGGTTTAAAAAATTAAGCGATCAAGCCCCTATCCTACTCAAGTGGTTGCAGTGGATACTGGACATCAAGATCAATCCATGTAGTTTAGCGCTATTTCACTCTATAGTTTCCCTGAACACAAAATGATGAATGAAAATAAAACCTGTGAACGAAGTTGTCCCCAACGTAGTCCCAGACCCTGTTGTGCCCGAGCTCCATGCTGTAACAGTGCTGGGTGTCCAGGAAATGTTGATGGGCGTGTCCCCCAGCGTATCTTCCACAACCTACATATCTAAACAAAGGTAAAAAATATAATTATTATTGGTTACTGTGGCAGAGCTAATATCTTACAAGGAAATATTCCCTCCCAGAACAAAAATAAAACGTTTAAAAAGTTCCCTTATGAATTTTTATTCTTATTTTGAGAATGATGATTAATTTAAAAACTTTGGAGATTTTTCATCTTAAGAATTACCATAACACACGGTAAGTTTTTGCATCTTTCTGATACTTATTTCCCAGAAGTTCATTTATTATTCTCTAAAAATCATTTGTATTTCCTGGACGGGAGGGGAGGGGGGAGGTGGATAAATGATTTTTTCAAGAAAATAATTATGGTTATCCATTTTGCCACAAGCATTTGCAGAAAAAAACCATAAACATGTAAATTAAGATTATGATACATACCCACACACGAGACAGATCCATAGATCAGTGGATGACTGACAATCTGAGCAAAGCTGTTCTGTACTCACCTAGAGAACGTTTTTTTAAAATCTTGTTTAACATTATCTTAAGCTTATAATTAAATGATTTACAAAAGGTTAAATAACATTTAACACAGAAAAAAAGAGACCGTTTGAAAATCTGAGTTTTTATCCAAAAAATGGAAAATTTAGCAAAATAGTTCTACACACTAAACTTAAAAATAAGAAATTTGGTAAAATAGTTCTACACATTAACTTTGAGTGCCTCCTTGCACAATATTGCATTACTGTGATAAAATTTTGTACTTACAGGGTTGAAACAGTGTACAGTTCTTTCTGTATTAAAGCAAAAATTTGCAAAACATTATTAACCAATTCCGTACATGTATTGCACGCAGTGGCGGACATAAGGGGGATTATTGGGGTTATAACAGAATTAATGAATCACAAGAACAAGATGAACAACTTCAATGGGTATACATTTTCAAGAATTACCCTGCTCCCCTCTCCCTGGAGATGATTTTCAATACTCTGGGGGGTCGAAAAAGGAAAATATGATATAAATTTTTCAAACTTTCACTTGTTTTCCCCTCTAAAAAAAACGTTTATTTTCCCCTATTCTATAAAAATTAATATAAAAAAGAAAAAAATTCTTTCGAGAAAATACACATAACTTTCTTGCTCTTCCTTAGTTCCGACGTATGAGTCTAAAGTCCTACCTCAGGTGTTTGAACATGTCTGCAAACAGGACAGGTAGGATCCTCCCACTGTGCCAAACATCCAGAATGAAACTAAACCATTAATCAATCAATCATTCAATCAGTAAACAGTTAATCAATCAATCAATCAATCAATCAACACACAGTTAATTAATCAAATCGATCAATCAAATCACAATTTCAGCTATCAGTGTTTCAGGCATCGTTAAATTCCAGGTCCACCAAATAAAATTAATTTAATTAAATTTATAAATTAAAACAACTTAATGAATGAAACTAAATAAATCCAGTAAGAAATGGACAAGAGAATCCGATTGAATTGCTACCTTGTGATTGCAGAGAATTGTAAGAACAGTTGATACGCTTTCATCCATCCTCTCCAAGCATATTGTACAGTGGGGCAGCTCCACACCGGTATCTGTATACGGGGAATAAATTTCCTTTCAAAGACATTGCCCCCCCCCCATTGTAAAAATAATTTTTACCCCCAAATGTTAGATGGTATGCGCGGAGCTGAAAAATGATTATTAATATGGACGTATTCGCTAAATTGTGGAAAATAAATGTTGTTGTTTACCATAAGTCAGTTTAGTTTCAATTTGAGGTTTCAACTGTTGCTCTGAAAGTGACCATTTTTAGTCATTTTGCCGTTTTTGTATGAAAATGAAAAATAATTACTGAATTTTTTTTCGGGCAAATTTTTTAACTTGCTAATTAGGGCCCGATCGGTTCAGCCATCTGGAATTAGGAAATGTTTGCGTATTCACCAGAATTAGGAAATATTTTCATATTTACCAGAATTAGGATAGTATTCGCTCTCCTTGCAATGTTCTACCCAGGATACAGGGAACACCTGGATTAAAGTATTCTTTAGGATGTTTGCAGATAATAATTTTTGACTTGCCGGTTAATGTAAATTTTTTCATCTTTTCTTTCAGATTAAAGAAATTCATTCTCTAAAATATAAATTTTTTTGAGACATAAAAACCCCAAATATGTTTTTCACTTTTGTTTTGTTTTAAATAAATACTTACGGAGCATATATCTGATTCTATGTTGTTGTAAGGGAGACCATTGTACGCGGCGTGGAATTCACTCGCTGCTTGTCCTGATCTGAAGTACAGCACAGTACAGTTGTTTGATGTACATTGTACAGAGCAAAATATGGATTTAACTGAAAATTGAACTTTAACTAATTGAACCATGTACTAAAAGAATTTTATGTACCTAACCATAAAATAATGTTCTAAAAGTAGTGTGTGTGCCTAAACTTAAGAACCATGTAATATAAGTAGTTTATGTACCGAAAACTTGAAAAATACAAATTACCGTGTACTAGAAGTAGTTTATGTACCTAAATTTTAGAAGAACCATGTACTAGACGTAGTTTATGTACCTGAACTTAAGAAAGAACCATGTGTTGAGCTAGAATTAGTTTATGTACCTGAACTTAAGTAGAACTATGTCCTAGAATTAGTTAATGTACCTGAACTTAAGAAGAACCATGATCTAGAATTAGTTTATGTACCTGAACTTAAGAAGAACCATGTACTGATTAGGACTTCCATCATGTATTATTCTCATGTACTCAAGATCTGCATGACAGGGTGCTGTGAACTGATCAAATAAAAAAATTTCAAATCTTTTTAAAATAATAAAAATAATATTAATACCGTTTGAATGGTATAGAAATCCCACAGATGCGAATGGCAATTGACAAATTTTTGAGAGGAAAGATTGCGATTCACAAAAATAACAATAACAATAACAATAACAATAACAATAACAATAACAATAACAATAACAATAACAATAACAATATAACAATAACAATATAACATTTAACAATAACAATAACAATAATAATAATAGTTTAGAAAGAAGAATCAATTAATTTTTTTACCTGAATGAGATCACATGTTTTATGTTTGGCCGGTATACCGTACATGCACATCATCTCTGTACTACCGTACTCTCTGTGAACAGCATCTGTAAATCAGTTTGGATTAGTACAAAGAATTAAAGTAAATGAACGCTTTAAATAGGACTATTAATAGACTGCGGAAATTCCACGTTTTACATTACAATGACAAAAGAAAATTGGTTTTAAATTGAACAAGTAGCAAATGAAAACAAAACTAGGCTTTAAGGGGCTTCGCGTCCATCTTCTATTTCATTTGTAAACATTTTGTTTTTGAATACATTGTAAAACAAACAAAAAAATCACGGATTTTCTAAAAAAAAAAAATCGTGGATATTCAAAATTTTTAAAAAATAGAATTTTGTTTGAAACAAATTTTTGAAAATTAGATCATCCATAGACCATCCCACATAAAATTTGGGCCCGATCGGTTTATCCGTTTTGATGTTTATCGGAAACAAACAATCAAACAGACAGACAAGCAAAGTATAAATGTAGATTCTCATTTTATATGATGACCTGAGGGGAGTGGTAAAAAATAACAGAAATAACAAGAACAAAGACAGGAAATTTTGTTTTAAAAAAAGATTATTCAAATATTAGAAAAGAAAAAAAGGGAATATCAAAAAAGGGAACAAACAATAGAAATAGGAAAAAATAAAATTCGGAAGCTCAAAATCAAAAATGAAGTTAAAAAAGAATACCTTTAAAAAGATGAATGATCCCTTTGGTGACTTCAACGAACGGGTTCCCGGAGATAAAATTGATGCTGTCAGGTTCTAGTGGGGAGGAGTCTTTAGTAGACCTGGAAAAAATACGGGTTTTTAAAACGTTTTTTTTATTTATAGAAATACTTATTCTTTTCTGATACGATATTCATCTCAAGAAGAGGAAAATTCCAAATAAATAACGCCAGTTATTGGATGACTCCTAATATTAATATACATTCCATATAATACATTGATCCATGAAATACATCACAAAGATCCATTACATACATATTTTATATAATACATAAAATAATATCAGATAGATACATTCAATATATCACGTTTATTACATACACATTACAATATTACACACATTACATTTGTTACATACATAAAAGATATATTATATACAATATAATAATTTATTATAATAACAATAATAATAATCCCTGTCAAATCTTCAATGTAAGATTTCAGACTTGAGCTCCCTTCAGTTTTCCGTTTAAGTTCCGATGAATTAACCCAGTCAAGTGCTGAGTGGAAATTCAAGGGTGGGAGACAAGCCTGTCTATGCATACATGTCTATTGTCTAAGAAAGCTAATATAAAAACATTTCTAAACCTGGACCCGAAATATTCTAGATCTCGTAGATTAAGCAGATTTGACATGTTAAATAAGTCTAGAAGTTGAAATAAACATTAGTTATCGAAAACATTTGAGAGTAATTCTGATGGTATACAAAAATCACTCCCCCCCCCTTTTAAACGCAAAAAATGTTAAAATAAACAGAATGATATTTCAATATTGGTTTGAAAATGAGCAAACTGATAGGACTGAAGATAATTTAGAACTAAACGATTCTCCTGTATTTACATATATATTTTACCCAGCAAAAAGAAGAAAGAACCCATAAGAAATAATAATGTCAGAAGAAAGCCCGACTTTATATTACCCAGTCATCTAAAAAAAAAACTGAACACGTATATAAAAAAAAAATATGATTTTACTTTGAGAAATAATACGAAAACTTATTATACAATAAAAAAGTGTGTAGGTTTATGAGTTTTATTAAAAACACTTCAGATTTGAATAAAGAAACTTAAAGTTTGTAGAGTCATGATTAAAAAAATAATATTTCATGAGGGATCATAAAACAAGATTTAGAAAAGTCCGAATCACAACGGTTTAATTAATCAAAAATGTGGAAAATACCGTCGTTTTTTCTAACTAGTAAGTGTTTATTTCTGATAATTTCTCCGTTGCTTCTTATTAGCAAGAAATGCGCAAGACACTTGTGCAGAGAAACCGCAAATGTGAAAACAGTTACAAGAAACAAAAACACGGAAATCTAATTCATACTTGATCAGACAAAGATTTGAAGGGTCCCGTTTTAAATCGGAAATTGACGTCTTTGCATGAAGCCTCGCTTGAAATTACGCATACAGTTCCTTTAAATCATATTTTTATATCAAATCAGAAAAAGAATCTTGAGAAAAAATTCTCCACCAGTTAAGTCAATTCGCCACCCCCCCCCCCCTCCTATATCTTTTTTTGGAAAATTTTGTTCAAGAACCCCGTTGTGCGAACCTATGCCTTGATCTATCCGATGGAGTTGATTCTTTTGATTTTACATCCGTCCTTCCGTCATTGCTAGCTCCGGCTACATCGTCCTATTTATACAAATACCGATTTCAACCGAGTATCATTAACCCAATTTTTACCATTATTAACATCTTTTTTGGAATCCTAAAAAATTGTCAGAAAAATTGGATAGTTTTGGGTTTTGCATTAAAACTTTATACTACATCTCAGAATTCGATATTATCTTGAAAAAATTATGTCTCCCATCGCTAATGATAGGTTTGGAACGAAAAAAAATGTTCTGCAAAAACGTTTTTGTTCTAAAATGTACCTTAGTAACCAGAGGAGGGAATTCCTTGCTTGTCCAACCAGGAGTATTCTCACGACTAAGCAGGGATCTAGAGATAAAAATTATTTTTCAAAGGGAGTATAATTTAAAGTGTCCTAAGCTTCAATTAGACAATGCCCGATTTACAACGGTACTCTTAAGACCATTATTTGATCAATAATGTGGGAGGTATCGTCATTTTGCTAGAATTAAAATTGGTTAATTCTGATAATTTTCTTCATTGTTTCTGAAGTTGCAATGCGCACGCCAATTTCGTGGAGGACCCGCAATTGAAATTATCAAAAATATTGATTTGGAATTCACTTTGAACAACCTGCCACTCTATCAGAGTAACTTGTAATTTTGACTTCAGCCTCTTTAGATAAAATAATTACTTCCTCACAATATGAGTTTCTTAACGTATATGAACTCTACCTTGTTGATGATTTTCTGGATAAAGATGAAGTTCCGCTAGCTCCAGATACACTCATCTCCTTACTCTCTACAGATCCAATACTAATCCAATATATAATTATATATTCCACCAGATACACTCATATCCTTACTCTCTACAGATCCAATACTAATCCAATATGTAATTATATATTCCACCAGATACACTCATATCTTTACTCTCTAGAGATCCAATACTAATCCAATATATAAATATATATTCCACCAGATACACTCATATCTTTCCTCTCTACAGATCCAAAACTAATCCAATATATAATTATATATTCCACTATATACACTCATATCCTTACTCTCTACAGATCCTATACTAATCCAATATATAATTATATATTCCACCAGATACACTCATATCCTTACTCTCTACAGATCCAATACTAATCCAATATATAATTATATATTCCACNAGTTAACTGCTTGGAAAAAAGCATGATTTTTTAAAAGGGCCGGGGGGGGAGATTTTTCCGGGAAAACATACACCATTGACTAGATACACACACATCTTTACTCAAAACGGATGCAATGCTAATTTAAGCATCAAATATTTTATTAAAATCCATTCGTGGTTTTTAGATAAAAATTATTTCTTGATCCAAGGACCAGAACCAGTTTTAATGAGTAGCGATCGACCACATACTTGTGTCGCGTAAGGACCAGAACCAGATTTAATGAATATTGAACGACCACATATTTGTGTCGCGTAGACTAAGCTAAACCATTCCGATTCGGCTTGAAGCGGTGCACAAAACAAGTGGTTTAACTACATCAAAGTACTTTAACTACATTTGTCTCTATTAACATGGTCCCAGATCTATTTTATTTACCTAAATGTTTCAATGATAATGTCTGCGGGTTCTCTTGTTCCTCGCTCACGTTTTCTTTCCGTCTCGGTTCTACTTTTCCCAATTTGTCCACAAACTGATAAATCAAAAAATTAACGGTGCACATTTTATTTTAACTCATGAACACCTTGACCGATTTGTCTCAAACTTTTATTGGGGGAATACGGTAGAACTATGAGAATTTTCTTCGCTTAGGTCAAAGATTCAAGGTTGATAGGTTGACTTATAAAGTTAAAGGTTGGTTTCAAGGCAAATATGGGTTTCCAAGCTATTTCAATGTTTTTAAAAATTTTTATCCTTTTCTTATATTATTAACGTTTAGGAAAACATACAATATTTTGGAGGGACATTTTTAGTAGTCGTAAAAACGCTTAAAAATTGCGTTCCCGATTCGTGGTTTTTCCATGAGCATGTATGGGTAATGGGTATTTATAACAATATACACCCCACTACATCCTAAATTATTTTAGTTTTCTTTATTGAAAGGGAGGATTGGAATATTGGATATCAAAAGGCAACTTTTTTCATTCTTTTGGATACCTTTTTTACTTAAATTCTTTTATTTTTCAAAAGTTAGCGAATAAAGCTCCACGCACATCCACAAGCATATAAACTTTCTGGGGGAAAATGATCTTCAAAAAAGGGGAAGAAAAATGTTTGTTTGTTTTTTTTCTAGAAAATATACACCCCCTGAAATGTGGTCTTCGGTAGACAAAGCTCGCAAAATAGTTTTGCTGAGTGAAGAATAGAATCTAACCTGGGTCTAAAACTAAAGAATGCGCGAATTTTAAGTTCGAGGTTAAAAGTTCTGTAAAATAATGAATAACTACTTAAATATTAAACTTTCTCAATTTTAAATTTGAATTTCCCGGGAAAATCTGAACCAATCAGAGAAAAGGATTTACGGAGAATATTACATAACCATCGCTAATCAGCTGTTCTTACGTAACCGAAAACAAAACATACAACCGTTTTTTGGGTTTACATCCAGAAATTAATTTATCTAAAACGTGAAATTTCTTTAACAAGGTTTTCATTTTTAAATATATCGTTAAGTTGAATGCCGCTTTCTCAGCTGCAGCTGAATGATGATTGAATAATAGACAAATAGGGAAAATGCAGGATTTCAAGATAATTTAAACCTGTGTTTAAATTTTAACTCGTCGATTTCGGCGAGTTAAATATTTAACCACAGGGTTAAATATTTAACCTCACGGTTAAAGTTCAGGTTTAAATTAAGTCAGAAATGGCATTTAACCATGAACTTAAAATTTAAGTCAAAACTTTTCGTTCTTTAGTTTTGGACTCTGTTGGTGCTTTATAGGGCTGACTTGACAGAGATGAATAGTCTATGCTGACAGGTGGACACGAGTCTACAGTTTCAATTGCTGAGTTTTGCTGAGTGAAGAATAGAATCTAACCTGTTGGTGCTTTATAGGGCTGACTTGACAGAGATGAATAGTCTATGCTGACAGGTGGACACGAGTCTACAGTTTCAATTGCTGACAAAAATTAAATTGTAACAATTATAAAATTTGAATTCAAAGTAATTTTTTAATAGTTAATAAATAATAATACCCTACCCAGATTATAATGCACGGTCATTTTATGTCTTGAAACATAGCCTTTTCCTGGACTTATCTGAAAATATATAAGAATGAATAATGTATGAATAAGTATTAACAATATTATTAACGGGAAGGATGAAAAGTCGTCTTTCTATAGAGTTCCGAAAATATGAAGAAATGATTCTTTGCATTTAATCCCGCCGTATCTAGTAGATATGAGGTAGATTTTCGGTGAACTGTGGAATTTAATTTTCCAGAATATTGTGCTGGTTATTTCTGCTGTCTCATCCAGCGCCATTATATCACTGAACATCAATCACATATAGAGAAGAGAACAATGATGATTTGAAGACAACAATGTTGTGAATTTACATAAAGGGACTGTTGGCATAATTTGAAGTGACTTTCCATTCATAGATTGAAATGTCCAATTCACAATGGTTCCCTGAAAGTTGGTTATTTTCCAATTGTGAATTTTCTACAAAGTAACTTGCGCATTTCTTCTTTAGAAACAATATGAGCTGATTTGAGAACTTAATACTTATCATTTCCAAGCTAGAAAATGACGAATCACATTTTTGACATTACTGACAGATAAACAAACTAACAGACAAGAAAAGTGAGCATAAAAAATGTAACATCTTGAATGTAAGATATTTGTGATGTTGTGTCCCTTATATCTATTAATACATCTCTCCGGTTCCCAAAGAATGTTAAATGACTAACAATCACTTCGTCCTAAAATAATAAAAATAACTTGCAAAAAAAAAATTTATTAATAACAAAAAATCATTCTAAAATAAAAGCTACCTTGCTAGGACTTAAATATATAAATCCAACGGTTTTTCTAAAGAATTCTCCTCCCAAGTACAGCATTAACAGAGCTATAGAGCATAATCCTAAACAAAAACATTGAACAATATACATAAAATCAAATGCTTAGGATCCATTTAATTTTGACGAAGATCCGGATGATACGCATCCCTGGATCCAACTTATGAATAGTTTTTTAAGTAAGTCTTTACTAATTTCTTTAAACAAAAACAAATTTTTACAATTTAAAATAAATATGAACTCTACTTTCGTAGTTGGTTATAGAAGATTTCTTCGTCGTCAGCATGTAAGGAATCATAAGGAATTGAAATCTGCAAGAGACCCCATTGTGGGCCCCCCAGACCGTTACTACTTAACATATACATCCCAGTTCTATTTTGAATTAAGAATCTGGTAAATTATGGATCCAACGAACCAGGCAAGAAAAATCCTCCCCAAAAACCATCTATGAACTCTGGTATAAAATACCCAAAATGATCATCCTAGAGTAGTGGTGATTATTTACAGAGCGTTATAATAGGATAGAATAAAAGTGAAACGTGTTAATTTACATAAACATATTTAGCTTTAAACATAAAAATAAAATTAAATTTTACAATAAAAAATAAAACTAATTTATGTAGTGTATGTATACTGTATAGCAGCCCAGTGGCAAAGCTGATGCACATCCAACATTACACCTTAGTAATACGATTTAAAAATATTTTCTTTTACTGTTTTTGCTATTTCTATGCAAATCAAATTGAAAGGAAACCCAACGGAACCCACTGACTGCCTTCGGGGCACTACACACCACCTTGAAGATGATGAAACTTGATTTATCATTAAATGATTAAAAATCAAAATTAATGTGTTTGTAAAAATTTTGCCGCTTCTTTACAGAACCGTTGTTCAGCATATTTTAGCGGATCCGGATTAAGATCCTTTCGGTTAAGCAGTTTGTTCAGAAATGAAAACATTAGTAAAAGAGATTTTTCTCTCTTTTGAACTCTTAAATAATGTATAGATAATAACCTAAAGTTAATTTTGTCATGATTTTTAAGCAAACGATAAACCTCTAAAATAATGAAATAAAAAATGTTACCAATGACTCCTGAGCAAACTTGAGGAGTGATTGCACCGCGTTCAAGTAAAGCAAAGGATGCGGGAACAGAGGTACAAACTATTAAACTCTGATATAGTTTCAACCTAATACAAATATACATGGGTCTATATCTATATAAATTTGGCTTGTCTGTCTGTTTGGGTGTTTGTCTGTCTGTTTGATTGTTTGTATCCAATAAACGTCAAAACGGCTGAACCGATCGGGCCCAAATTTTTTGTGGGACATCACGTGACCACAGGGAAGGTTTATGAATGATCAAAATTTCAAATATCTGTCTCCATCAAAATTCGATCTTCATTAAATTTTTGAAAATATACCTCAACCCTTCCAGAATCATTGTAAGAGATGAACTATTAAAGAGTATACATCATTTTGAGAATAATCCCGACCCGGCACGGAATTATTTTTTATGATTTGGAAGAAAAAATGGGACATTAAAAGGTCAGTTTTTTAATTCTTTTTGATACTTTTCCCCTACTATTTTTTATTTTCTACCATTTTAGAAATGTTGAAAATAAATACTGGTCTGACCAACCTGCAGATAACTCTAGCAGCTACTATATACGGAAATCTGTAAACTGTAGTCCAGCCTTGAGTGACAAGATTCAATCAATCGATCAATCCGGGAAATCCATTCTAACCGTTTTCCAATAGTAAAAATCAATTCATTCAATTAAAAATTTAAACAGTCAACTTTGGATTTTGTTTGAAAAATCCACTTTTATTCTTTTAAAGCAATTTAAATTCGGGAGGAAACCAAAAACGACCAATTAATTGAACACGAAATAATTGAAAAAACGGCAACAAATAAGCTAATCAAAATCAATAATCGTCGCATTAATGAAAAAAAGGCTCAAGAAACTTACTAAATATAATATCATTCAATAAAATATATAAATTAGCAAACGAAAAAAAAGGAGTAAGATTGATTCACACAAATGATTTAACATTTGTAACCAGTAAATCAAAAATTCAATCAATGAGTCTAAAATACACTCAATAAATCTACAATTCAATCAATGAATCTACAATTCAATCAATAAATCTACAATTCAATAAAAAAAATCTACAATTCAATCAATAAATCTACAATTCAATCAATGAATCTACAAACCAATCAATAAATCTACAATTCCATCAATAAATCTACAATTCCATCAATAAATCTACAATTCAATCAATGAATCTACAAATCAATCAATAAATCTACCATTCAATCAATGAATCTACAATTCAATCAATGAATCTACTATTCAATCAATGAATCTACTATTCAATCAATGAATCTACAATTCAATCAATGAATCTACAATTCAATCAATGAATCTACAATTCAACCAATGAATCTACAATTCAATCAATAAATCTACAATTCAATCAATAAATCTACAATTCAATCAATAAAAATACAATTCAATCAATGAATCTACAAATCAATCAATAAATCTACAATTCAATCAATTAATCAACATTTAAATCAATTAATCAAAATTTAAATCAATTAAACTACAGTTTACTCAATAAATCTACAATTTAATCAATGGACATCAATTTAAATCGACGAATCTACAATTCTATCAGTAATCTGCAATTTAATCAATGAATCTAAAATTAAATCCATTTCAATCTGTGAACCTAGAATTTAATCAATGAATCTAAAATTAAATCAATCTTGTTCCTTTAAATCTCTCTGGATTGATTTCATTATTTCTCTCCACAAGTGTTTTCTCTTGCAAGGGATGAAATGTAGTAAATGATGATGTCACTTTATGATTTGGAAAACCTAAACATGTTCTAAATGTTTCGGGAAATCCGCCAATACTGACAGCTTTGTGATTAGTCACTTTGTTCCACAAGCTCTTCTGACCAAAACATTTTAGCATTTTAAATCCTGCAACAAGAAGTTAATCATTAATCAACATTTTTACACAAACTATTGACAACTTAGAATTAGAACTAGAATTAGAATTAAGACAAAAAATTTCGGCAATACAATATATCATCTAGTTCACAAGTTTAATTCCGATCCCTCCTACGATCTTCTTTCTTCCTGTCTCTACTAACGGGTCTTTCTCGCCTTCTTTCTCTGCTAACAGATCGGTCCCTTTTCCGGTCTCTGCTATCGGATCGGTCCCTTTTCCGGTCTCTGCTATCGGATCGACTCCTTTTCCGGTCTCTGCTATCCGATCTTTTTTCTCGTTTCCTATCTCTATTTTCTGATCTATCCATTTTCTTCTCCCAATTATCTCGTTTTCTATCTGAGCGATCTTCTCGACTTTCAGATCTCTTTCTTGGTTTGTCACCGCTATCTGATTTCCTTCGTTTGTCTTTACTCCTTGACCTATCTTGCTTTCTCTCATCTTCCATTCTCTTGTCTCCATTTTTCGAATATATCTCGGGACTAGCTGCTCCTTTTATCTTCTTCTCCTGCCAATCATCTTCGGAATCTGACTTTGATCCTTTCTTTCTCTTCTTCTTATCCCTCTTGGCTTCCTTCTTCTCCATCTTCTTCAACTTCTTCAGAAGCTTTTTCTTCTCTTCCTGCAAGAAAGAAAAAAATCATAAATCCTGGATCCTCATTACACATTTTAATAATGGATCAAAATCAATTAAAACAAAAGGATCTCAAACAATAATTTAATAATGAACTTGAAATTAATCATTTAACCAAATTCTTGGGCCTTTTTTAATCCAAAATTTTTAACTCTTTTTATACAATTTCTGGTTTGGTCGTGTTATTTACAGAAAAAAACTAGTTTATTATTTGAGAAAACAAATGCTATTATATCGAAAAATGATCCAGATTGAATCAGAAATTTACAAACAAAACAAAAATAAAGCTTTATTTGTAAATTGAAAAGTTAAGCTGCCCTTTTAGTTTAACAGTGGAAATAACATTTTACATGTCAGTACCCTTTTTACTTTTAGCCTATATTTAAGAAACGACGGCATAGAACTTATTCACCAAAAAGATTAAAACAAAATGTTTTTACTGGTCCTTTCCAGTCCAACTGTAAGTGTAATTTTTTATATAGAAAAACGGGAAAAATACTTCCGAAGATGTGGACAATATTTTTTTAAGGTTTGAGAATCAACCTAGGTATTTGAAAAACGAAAACTGTCACTAAACGCCTTGTAGAACCAACCTTGCTCATTGTCTTGAGTAATTCGACCCGGTCAACTCCCTTCTCCTCCTCCACCATAGCGTGGTTAGGTCCAACCTCCTTCTTCAGATCCCAGGAACTGTATCTCATTGCCAGTCCTTCAGCCTAACAACACCGAGCATTTAACAACTTTCTTTAATTTAACAATTTTCATCAACAATTTTAGATTCTATAATTTGGTTTTTTAATTGATTAACGGAACACATAATTAATTAATCTTGGTTTTGATTCTAGTTGTCTACATAAGTATAAATCAAAAAAAAAAAAAAAAATGCATTTGTTTTTCTGGCTTAAATTTTTTTGACGATTTTTGCAATAGTGATTTACTTTTTTATCTGATAAGAAACTTTTAATTTTTTATTTTTTTAACTGGTATTTCATTGAAGTTTTTGAACCTTTATTTACTAAAAAATGGTTATCTTAAGACTAATTTTAATGCGCTAACAAAAAAGTTAAATGACCCTTCCTTCATCTCTTCGATAAGTTTGTTCTGATCAACGTTCTGAATTGGAGCGTCGTGATCTAAACTCTTCCCGTAGAGCGGACACCTTTTATCCGTGTTCATGTGCCCAAACTTGCCACATTTGATGCACTTGGCCTGGCACACCTAGAAACACAACAAGGAGTTAGACTGACGACAGGATTTAATAGCCAAGGAAACCCAGGGGTGAAAATAAGATATTTTAAATCAAAATAAAAGTTTTATCACCCTTTAAAATACATTTTACCCAAAATTTAATCTATTTTTCTCTAAAATACATTTATTTTCCCGAATTTTGTGTAAACCCCAGAAAAACAAACTTTTTAAATTTGAGGGAGAATTATTTTTCAAGATAATATACACCCATGTCTAACCGACCTGAATACCAAAAGGTTGTTCCATGAAATCATCTCCTTTCTCTAGATAGGACTCTTTAGGGGCGTGTCCCCAGGTTCTCTGCCATTCAAACTTATATTCAGGTTCCCCGCCCTCACCCTTCTCCTCCTCTCCTATCTTCTTCACACCTTAAACAAGAACAACCATCAAAAATTGAAACCTTCTTTAGATGGATCCTAATTAAAGAGCAGATAACCACTTTATAAATTCTAGACGTCTTTCTAAGTAACCCTACATCTATAAAGTGACATGTCCGATTCACAACAGTGCCCCTACATCATTGTAATTGATTGTTTTCAATTGTGATTCCTTTTGTAAATGTGAGTTGTGGAGTTGAAAAACGACGAAATCTACTACACTATAAATCAAATAGAGGTTTTTTAAATTGAGGGGCAACACTTCAATTACAAGCATAGTCCCTTTAATCAAAATGTCGGAATTTACACATATGAACCATATTTCCAGGTGTTTTACTTGATTGACTACATACGAGTTACACCAAGGGTTATTCCAGAAATTGTGGAACGTGAGAGATTTTATAGTACGTTTAAGACTTTATTTTGTGGAAGATTTACGGTCTGGTGGCAGGTTTCATCTCCCTAAATCTTTTTAAGTAGCATGTTTGGGTGTAATGATGCAAATATTTATCCTTAAAATTAATCCTAGATGAACCCTTGAGCTGTATAAGGTGCTACCTTATCAATATCGACATACGTAATAATACAAATCACATAATGAGGGGGGATTTAGAAGTTTTTGATAAAACATACAAAGTAAGTACCTGGTGGAGGTTCATACATAAAGTTGAGTTCCAGTTTATCCTTGCTCTCCTTGGACAGCAGGGCCTTGTTCTGGTACAATTCTTGCTCCCTGGAAAAGTAAAACCTTTTTACAAAAGTCAAGAATTTTAATTTTTCCTCTGAAGAGGAACTAAGGAACCAAGAATTTATGAGAAAAGGTTAAATAATTTTTGCACAATCGTATCTGAAGTCGCATCCATTCGGTCTGAATCTGTATAATACCAATTTTTATTTGAATTTGACTGGTAAAAGACCTTGTCTGTTTACTAAAAAGTTTGATTAATTTTATAATCACTATTAATATTACAAATCTCCATTTAAAATTGCAACTTAATTATTCTATCTGACTTATTTGTTCGTAAAAGGGATTTTTTTTTAATAACAAACGATTTTTGGACCCCCCCCCTCCTATCAATTTTGTACATGATTTCAGCAAAATTATTAATATTATTTATGGGTTAGGTTTACACAATTTTTGGGCCGAGCGCTGCGGCAAGGACAGGCTATGGGGCTGGGCGCTGCAGCCACATGACCAATGATAACCATGTACAAAATTGATGGGAAGGGGGGGCGGGGGGGGGGTCCACAAATCGTTCTCTACGAAATTACCAAGATTAAAAATGTAAGAATCTCCTTTTAGACATTGCTGTTTTGAGAATGTAGGTGAAAATAAATGCGACATTCATATAAACAAAAAGATAATACGATTCATTAATTTAATTTTCTGAAGAAAAATCAGATTTATGGATATGTATCGTTTAAATCTTTTAGAATTCTTATTGCTTCCAGTAAGAAATACATAATAAATAACGATTCTCTGAAAGGAGAGGGAGATGAGTATTCGAAACTTACGACTTGCGGATTTTTTAATAAACATTTGGAGATTCTCATTAGCATCATAAATAACACTGACCTGTCATATTGGGTTCTCAGCTCGTCCTGCTTCTTCTTCTCCACCTCGGTCTTCTTCTGCGCGATCCAAACCCTCTTCAAGTTGTCCGCAGAGGCAGGGTGGAAGAACTTTTTGCACATGTAGTTGTTGAAGCCCTTCCCCATCTTGGACGAGTTTCACTTTCTGAAATAAATCGAGATATATTGGAAATTACTTTTTACCTATATTCAAACAATTTTGTACATGCTTCTCATTTGTAAGTAAGTAAGTAAGTAAGTAAGATTTATTAGAGATAAATCAAGATCATAATACATATTATAATATGNCCAAAAATCGTATACTAGGAAATTACCGTCAATTTTAATTTTATCAACATTACATGATACCGAAGTTCATTTTTAAGGCGTATAAAAATACACGCTGCTTTATGTATGATGAAATCAACCAATTGATAAATAAGTCATAAAGACCTCTATAGATAATTTAAAAAAAAACATTAATATTCTTTCCAAACGCTGCGAAAACAACGATCACATTTCACCTCATTTGACTAATAACTAACTAATAAGTTAAAAAGTTCAGATGCTTTCTTTATCAACAGACAACAATGCCGAACTACGTTTTGCTTAAATTTTGTCGTCTTCGATAAAAAAGGTCAAAATATATTTTTATTTTCCAAAAAATTTTTGGTAAACCCAATTACATTTTCATAAAAATCAACATTTTTGAAACTAATAAATTTTAATGAAAGCACTTTTTAATTAAAAAAATTACGTATTTCGTCGCGGCATTTTTAGTTTTCTTTCGCTCTATGTTGTTATGACACAGAGAAATGAAAAAAGACCAATTCGCAATTAAGACTATTGAGTGTTGAAATAACTCAAAAAATTGCAAATATATAACTTGGATTAGATGAGCTCGATGAGATGGATCCATGCATGAAGGAATCAGTATTAAACATCTAATTTAGTTGCAATAAGAGTGTATCATCATCATAGTTAGTGACTACCTACCATACATTTAAGGTGCTCGCCTTTGGATGCACATAGAAATAAACGTTAATCAATCAATCTACTAACTACCGGCCAATGCAGAATTGGTATTTTTTTTTATTTGTAGTTTATGGCAATTAGTTCAGTAGAACTTTAAAGTGTTTGGATCCCTCCTAGCAACCGCTTTAGGGACTTTGGGGCCCTCCTATGAAATTTGATGAGACCTCAAGGGTCCGTCCTAGTATACGATATTTGGACCAAACTATGTATGTGTATGTGTTTCAGAAAAATTAGGTCTAAACAGAAGGCGGCCAGGAAGGGAGGATTTGTAAGAATGTTGAAAGATCAGGAGAAAGAGGTAAGTTATCTTTATCAAAAGTAATAAGCAATATTTGTTTCTGCAGTGCTTGGCCCCGATGTCGATTTGTAGTTTAGTTTGGTTTGTATTTCAGTTTGTAATGAGAGATCATAATAATTGGTTTGTATTTTAGTTTGTTATGAGAGATCATAATAACTGGGTTGTATTTTAGTTTGTTATGAGATCATAATAACTGGTTTGTATTTCAATTTTTTATAAGAGGTCAAAATAATTGGTTTGTATTTCAGTTTGGGGTCTGTCCTAGTATACGATTTTTGGACCTCCCAGCCCCCCCCCTCCTATCAATTTTGTACATGACCTAGATTTCAACTATTTTCAACAAAAAAATATTTATTTTGAATT